TTGTTTTAATAAATTTAATAATTTTTGTAGTGAGCATGGTATTGCTAGGAAGTTGACAATTCCTTGAACACCTTAGCAAAATGGTGTTGTTGAGAGGATGAATCATACCAATATGGAACACGCTAGGTGTACATTGAGTGTTGTTGGGTTAGAGCAGTGTTTCTGGGCAGAAGTTGTTTGTACAGCTTGTTTCTTAATCAATAGGTCTCACAGCTCTGCTATTGACTATAAGACGCCATAAGAGGTTTGGACAGGTAAACCAGCTGATTATTATTTCCTTCGTGTTTTTAGCTGTGATGCATATTCTTTGATTCCAAAGGAGAAAATACCTAAATTGGCTGAAAAATCCAAGAAGTGTGTTTTTCTTGGCGATGCTGATGGTGAAAAAGGGTACAAATTGTAAGATCCTACTGACCACAAGGTTATAGTTAGCCAAGATGTTATTTTCAATAAAAATTTCATGTAAAAGAAGAAAGATGTTTCAAATGTAAAAATTGTTGAGGTGGAATGCATACATGAGAACCAACGAGCTGGTGGTCAGGACCAAGAACCTGAAATTATCCAAGAGCTTGAAGAATATATCATGTGAGGCTTAACGACTATGCCTTGTCGTATGATTGCGTCACTGAGGTGGATGAGTTAGTTTCTTTTTGTGAGGCATGTGAGGTCGATGAAGCTAGTCAATAGAGAGCATATATGGAATAAGAGATGGAGGCCTTGTGAAAAAATAAAACATGGAACATCGTCAAACTACAAGAGAAGCGAGTGGCAATTGGTTGCAAGTGGGTCTTCAAGAAGAAGAAAGGCCTTGGTGGTACTGTTGAAAGGTACAGTGCTTGATTGGTTGTGAAATGGTATGCTCAGAAACCAAATATTGATTTTGATGAGATTTTTTTCTCATGTTGTGCACATGTCCACTATTAGAGTTGTTTTGGCTATGGTTGTTGTTCTTGATTTAGAGTTGGAACAATTAGATGTAAAAACTACATATCCGCATGATGACTTCAAATAAAAAATTTATATGATCCAACCTAAGGGTTTTATTGAGGAAGGTAAACATAATTTGGTTTGTAGCCTCAATAAATCGTTGTACGGGTTGAAATAGGTGCTGCGGTATTGGTCCAAATGATTTGGCTCTTTCATGTTGAGCTTGAATTTTCATAGATGTGAAGCGGACCATTGTGCCTATTTTTCGGGACTATGGTGATGAGAGCTTTATTATCTTCTTATTATATGTCGATGACATGATTATTGCAGGACCAAACAAATAGAATATTGCAACACTTAAAGCTCAGTTGGCTAGGGAATTTGAGATGAAAGAATTGAGAACTGTTAACCAAATTATTGGGATGAGTGTACTTAGAGACTGGAAGAACATGAAAATTTGATTAATTTAGAAGAGTTATGTGGAGAGGGTTATGCGACGCTTCAATATGTAGAATGCTAAACAAGTTAATGCCCCATTTTTTGTGCATTTGAAATTGTCTTCGAAACAATGCTTAGCACCAAAGCAGGGGAGACACAGATGTCTCGAGTACTGTATTCATATACAGTAAGGAGCTTCATGTTTGCTATAGTTAGCGCAAGGCCTAACATACCACAAGCACTTGGAAGTTGTTAGTAGATATATGGCAAATTCTGGCCATGATCACTGGACCGCAGTGAATTAGATCATTCGATATTTGAAGGGAACTTGCGATGCTGATATTTGTTATAATGGAATTGATTTGAAAGTCACTAGTTATGTCGATGCATACTTTGCAGGTGACTTGGATAAAATAATGTTTACTATCAAATATGGTTTTCTTTGGGAGGTGGTGTAGTTAGTTAGTTATCAAGGTTGCAGTATGTGGTGGTGTTGTCTTCTACAGAAGCTGAGTATATGTCACTTATGCATCTAAAGAAGCAAGAATTTCGAGTTGGGCAAAAAGGTATTGTGCTTCATTGCGATAAACAAAGTGTTTTATTTATAGAAAGGGATCCAGTCTTCCATGACAGGACTTTCGAGTTGGGCAAAAAGGTATTATGCTTCATTGTGATAATCACAGTGCCTTGTTTCTAGCAAGGAATCTAGCCTTCTATGGCATGACTAAACATATTGATGTTGAGTATCACTTTATTCATGATGTGGTAGAAGATGAAAAATTTTTAATGCAAAAATTCATAATAACTATCCAGTAGATATGTTGACTAAGCCCATTGGAAAAAGGAAGTTCACTTGGCGCAGGACTTCCTTGGAGCTTGTGGTTACTTGATGATTAGTAACTGGTGGGCAGCAATTTCTTGGAGCAGACTACTCAGAATGGAAGCATGGGAAAATGTTGGTCATTTGGTAGATATCATTGCGAGAGAAACACCATGTTTTGAGGCTTGAGAGAGAGCTTGTAATCCCTTGTATTATCCATACTTGCATGGTATTTTTCTGATTAGTGGAAGATACTTTGCTGCCATGTGGATGTAGGCAACTTGCCGAACCATGTAAATATTTGTATTTATGTTGTTTTATTTTTCTACACTATTTTTTTTTCCCTTATTTTTATCAAACTTTAGTTTTTATCCTCTACAATGAATCCCATATTTGACTTTCAGAGTGAATATGAATAAGTTCTTGGAAATCTAAAATTTTTCATAGGATCATTTTCAGATGTTCAAAATCATTTTTTTATTTTTTTTATATGAGGTTAAAAATCCGAAAATATACCTAGAAATTTTAAAATTTTTCCAGGTGCATATTTGGATGTTCAAAATCCCAATTTTTTTTTTTGGAGGTTAAAAATATCAAAACAATTTTGGAAATTTCAAAACTTTTTCGAGAGCATGTTTGGACGATCAAGGAGGTTGGAAACCTGAAAATAAAACATTACGGGAGCTGAATTTCCGAAATTGAAGATGTCAAAATATTTATGGAATACTCAATTTCGAGTCATAAAGATTTAGATTATGGCTATTTCATTATTTTTTAAAAAATGGCGAATAAATTAGGCACAAATGTATCAACGGGAAATATTTTGGTAGAATTCAAATAACATTTGTAATTTTCAAAATTAAGGCGTAAATACCATTGAAAAGTAAGTAAATACATATAAAACATATGAAAATAAATTTAATCATACTATAAAACAACCTATTATCGCGAAGAACGGCAAATATAACCAACTAGCACTAAGAATTTCATCTTAAGGGTGAAGTACCACAAGTGGTGAGCGTTTCAATAATTTCAATTGTCATTATAATTCATTTAATAACTTTATTCCATGAAATCGTAAGACTATCTAATTTGTCGTAGCGGTTTTTTTGCCTGTAGCACTACCACTGGTCACTTGCTGGATTTATTCATGACATTCACCTATTAAAAAAGGATAATAAGTGTAATTTTCTCTTTGTTCAATTCCTTCGTCCCGAAGTTTACTTTTCTCACGGGACTATTTTCTGTACAACTTTCTTTAATAAAAAGTGACCTTATCGTTGAAAATTAATATTAACCAATTAAAAGCGAAAAGAACATGTACAAGTTTACGGACATTTACGGAACCGGCTACTCCGGTTTCTTATTTTCAACTGGGCCCAATCGACCGTTCCATTTTCAACGGGGCTGTTTTCTGCGCAACTTTCTTTAATAAAAAGTGACCTTAACGTTGAAAAATTAATATTAACCACTTAAATGCGAAAAGAACATGTACAAGTTTACGGACATTTGCGGAACCGGCTACACCGGTTTCTTATTTTCAACTGGGCCCAATCGACCGTTCCACTTCAAAAAAGAAATTTTTTTCTTGCGGGCTGGACTGTATGACTACATATGCGATCCAAAAACTGTAAAGTATCCATTTTAAAGATGGATGCAAGTAGGTGTTTCATCTAAAAATAATGGAAACTAACGGTCTAAATATTTTTTTACTATAATTATTATTTATAGTTTTTAAAATTTATTTAATTTTTCATATTCATGATCTCCACGATAGAGATTATATGTCCTTAAAAATTAAGTAAAAAAATCCATCTCAAAAATAGATTTATTAATTGGCCAACATTTCTACATATATGAATTTGGCTGCATAAAAACTGGGTCATCTCAAAAAACGTTACACAAGTTAAAAGTGTGGATTATATTTTAATCCCTAAGCCCTCCTCAACCCTAAACCCTAATCTCTCTCTACAAACAAAATATTTTGCCTTAATTGACCTACATTGATGCGTTTGGGTGCCCCATTGAGGAAATCAACAGTCATCAAAGGGTAGATATGTGTCGTCCACCCTCCGTCTTAACATTGGACGGTCAGTGCTTCCCATGTATATCATATACCACTTACACTTCAAGACGTAGTTTTTCTAAGAACTAGGTTTTATGATAAAAGTAGTTTTATATCAAAAAGCTTGTTTGAAAAACACTTTGGGAATGAAAAATCTATATAATGTCCCTAAGATCAATTTCCACTATAAATTATGAAATTTGAAGATTAAAAATAGTAAAAAAATTATAGTTTAATGAATAATTAAAAATAGACGGTTTATATAAAATGTTATAATATACATTATTTTCAGCGCTTGATAAATTTTTTTTTTCAGAGATCAATTTGAAGGTTTTTTAAAAAAATATTTTTTTGATGAGGCTTTGCTGCCCTTTTATTTTATTTTATTTTATTTTTTATTTTTTATTTTTTAAGGTCGATTACATGTGTCGGTTCTCGACTGGGTAGAGCGGGTGTACATGCCTCGACGCAGGATGCCCGGCGTTTCCCGCCATCCGCTTTAAACGTGTCATAAGTGTGAGCCTGCTTCCTGCTTCCTGCTTCCAATTTTTAATACCATAATCTCAATAATCACACCCAAATCTCTCTTAATGAAAGATAAGTGGTGATTAGAAGGTGTAATTAATAGCCCAAAACGGTATTTAGCTCATCTTCTCTGTTTTAGGTGCAAAAAAAAGGAAAAGTAACGGTTAAACTTAAAACCTTATAAATAAGTCCAAGCTCTCTGTCATCTCACGCGTGCGAAGTTGATTCGCTCCGTTTCCCTCGCGATTCTCTCTCTCTCCTCCTTGCCCCCCTTCCTCTCTCTCTCACTGACGGCCTTTGCGTCTCTCTCTCTAGAAATTCTCACACTCTAAAATTAGACACTGCAGCCTGTGGCAGTAGTCGTGCGTGAAGTAGCAAGGGAACCCCACTCGTATCCATTAAATGCTCGAGTCTCGTCTTTGCTTTAGTTTTGTCATTTCTTCCTTCTCATCCAAGTTTGCGATTGTTCCCCGTTCCTCTCCAGAGTTTACCCGTGTTCTCTCCTTTTGCTTAGCTCTCTCTCTCTCTCTCTCTCTCTCTCTCTCTCTCTATCTGATGCTGCAATTCATGCAGGGGTGCATTAGCGCAAGTGTTCAATGGGCTAGGCTTGAACGGTGAAATTCAAGGTTTGGTTCAATTTCAATTTTTGTAATTAAGTTTTGACAGGTTTTTCCAGGTAACTCTAGCTTTGTTCCCTAAATGTGAACTTTGGGAATTTCTGCTTATTATCAAATGTGTAGTTAACTGAGAAATTGAAGCAATGTTCATTGTATATGCTGGTACTTTGTCTGGATGGCCGTTTATTTGCTGTGTTTTTGGTGGTTTTAAACTTTTTTGTTTCATAATTCTGGTTGTTAGTGTATTCTTTTTGTTGGATTTCTGGTGCCTGAGTTTGATATGCTAGGGTTTCTGGTTCTTTTTCTTGGATTTTTTTTCTTGAACACTTGATGATGGGTTATTTGTGTAATGATTAAGTCCGGAACATGTTTGTCCAAGTTGGTCATGGCTTATACCTCTCACTTTTGAGCAGTATCTCTTCAAATTTTGTATGAAATGCTAAGTTTTTTGGGCTTCAGGGATGTAGTTTTGCTTGTACATTTTAGCCTGTAAATATACAGGTGTGTTCACCATTTTTTACATGCTTGCGGTTTGTATAAGGCGTCAACCTTAAACATTCTAAGGAAGGCACGCCTCCAATTCATACTAAAAGCTGTAGTTTTGTGCTGGCAAACTTTGTGATGGCCTAAAAAGTTATTTTCATCCCTAATCATGAAATCTAAAGCTCTAAAAATGGGTAGAACAATAAATACTTGAAAATCTTGGAAATGGATCATCCAAATAATGTACTTCAAGGTGCACTATTTTCAAGACTTGAAATCGATTTTTCATATCCATAAATCTGGAGGTCAAGAATCAACTGGAGGGTTTTGCAATGTCAAAACAATATGTTTTGGTCGTTTTTTTTGGTGTGCCTAGGTACTTTTTCCTTTTTAACATTTTCATTCTCTTTCCTATTAGATTTTACATTTATGTTTTCTATTCTGAGTTTTCTTTTACTTTTTGGGTCATTTGATATAATGGCTATGTGTCCTTCCTTTTTGTTGACAATATGAATAAATCAAGTGTGACTAAATGTTTTGTGTGTGTCTCATGTCATGTTTCATTATCATTGCTGGTTGTCACGTGTATTTATCATTGCTGGATCACACATCAGTTTGGTAAATTTTGTTTGAAAATAAATTAATGTGTGTCAGTGCAATATTATCTTAGAACTAATATTTCCATCTATTTGCTGTGTGTAAATGCAATATGATATTAGAACTAATATTTCCTTCTATTTGCTATATGAGAACTGAATTGTTTTTGCCATGCTCTTCGTCTTCACTCTCACTGGTTTTCTTGTTGAGGTTGGGAAATCTCCCCTATGGTTGTGCAAATTTTTCGCATACAAATAAATGTACATTGTATTGCTAAACCTTAAGATGATCATGATGGCAAATTTGTTGGGTTTCTGTGGTCCTTTGTGGACCATACTAGGCAAATGCTATTTGTCGATACTTAGACTTCGCTTGACATGTGATGCAGGTAGAAAATGTTGGAAATTGAATCCATTGTTCTCTTGAACCTTAAACAAGTAAGATCAACAATAATAGAGAAAGAACATGGCTGTAAATCAAGCAAAGAGAAGAAGAACTTTCTTCTTTTATAAAATAAAATTTATTCCAACAACATCTCCCCCAAACTATAACATCTAACCTTTTATAATCCTATGAAGCCCTAATTTAACTTGAGATTCAAATACACATTTAATACTCTAAAATACCCTTAAAACAATAACAAACTTTCTAAAATATCCCTGTGGACAGTAACGAGTAAACAATACCATGAATAGTACTTGTGAATAGTAAACAAAAAAATAAAAACCCTAGAAATAAACCTTAAAACTAAAACTACAATATACATAATTGAAATTGAATAAAAATACAAAAGAAAAAGAAATTTTCTCTCCATCATTCTCCCCTTGTTAGAGAAAACTTGTCCTCGAGATATGAACTCAACATCAAAACCACCTTCTTTAACCTTCCTTTTCTTTGTCGGCTCAAATATTATTTGAGATAAAAAAAAATTCCTCAAGAAATGGGTTCTGATATGGATAATGATGATTCCATGCAAATTTATCAAATTCAAATATTTGTGAACTCCCATTGGAAATCATGTAAGATACTCCAAACTCAAGTTTTTGGCCTTTGGAGGTTTTCTCAACATCTAGTTGATCACTTTCTAAAACCAGTTCACAATTTGTAGAATCTGAGTCGACCACACTTCCACTGCGCTACTCTGATTCCAGTGCCCTAAATCTCCTAAATGTTCCAGATCTTACATCTTTTTCTTCGTTAAAGATCGGTTCACTCATGAAGTATTGATCACCATCATAGATTAGATCTCTTCCAAAATCTTGTTCATCATCTAAGTATGTATCAACAATTGGTGGCAGATCTCAATCTACAACTAGTGGATTTTCGATATGACGTACACTAAGAAAAACCTTATTCTCCTTCAAGTCATGTAGATCAACTAAATCCCATGATTCATTTTCCCGAACGTGAGGCCCCCAATGCGGAGTACGTACATAGAATGGGTGGTTGAAGGCAGCTTTATCAGTGCGCTCCAACTATGAGTCGGACTCCGATTCACGCCATTCTCCATAAAACCCTCACGATTTGAATCTAACCATGTAGATTCCTCTTCGTTTAGGGCACGATGTTGCTGACCCTACTTGCACAACGATAACTTTGTAACCCTCTCGGTCAAATTGTTGATTTCCTTACGCAGTTGGATCAGATCGGCATCCCTACGGCTAAGACCTCCACAATAAGCCATCGCAATCTGTAGCCATCCTCGAACCATGCTCTAATACCACTTGATGCAGAGCAATTGAATCCACTGTTATCCTGAACTTCAATAGAGAAAGAACATGACTATAAATCATGCCAAGAGAAGAAGAACTTTCTTCTTTCAGAAAGTAAACTTTATTCCAATAACATCTCCCTCAAACTATGATATCTAACTTTTTATAAGTCTATGAAATCGTAATTTAACTTGAGATTCAAATAAATATTAAATACTCTAAAATACCTCTAAAACAATACCAAAATTCCAAAAATACCCCTGTGAACAGTATTACATGAATAGTAACGCATGAACAGTGACTGTGAAGTTACTGTGAATAGTACCATGAATAATACTTGTGAATAGTAAATAAAAAAACTCTAGAAATCATAAAAACCCTAGAAATAAATCCTAAAACTAAAACTACAATATACATTATTAAAATTAAATAAAATCCAAAATAAGAAGAATTTTTCCTTCCATCAACATGCTAAGCCGGTCAAGTTGGAAAACTCATGGTACCTGGGCATAAGACTAAATCGATGAGGGTTTTGTGGGTTATCTCTTGATGAGGCCGGAGTTGCCCGGATGAGTAAGCCGAGGGCCTAAAAACCCTAGAAAAAAACCATAAAACTAAAACTACAATATACATTATTAATCCATCAACATGCTAGGCCACTCGAGTTGGAAAACCCATGGTACTTGGGCATAGAACTAAATCGATGAGGGTTTTGTGGTTATGTCTTGATGAGGTCGAGGTTGCTCGGATGAGTGAACCGAGGGACAATGTGACCATTGTGTGTGATGGTTGGTCTTTAGAGATGAGGGCACAATCCTTATCTTCGAACCATCATACGGCATGTATAAATAAATGATAACCATATCGGAAAAGCGAACCACCTTTTAGGGTGAAGCGTCTACATGTGCGAGAGATTACCATTATGCACCATAGAGCTGTAGTTGCATCTGGTATAAGTGACCTTGGTTCGTCTCTAGGGAAAACCTGTAATCCATAGGCTGAGATTATGTCCCCTTGCCTATTGGCTTACTTTGGTAGCCCAATCATGAACCCCCTACAGTGGACTGTGGGTCATGAGAACCGCTGGGTCAGTTTGAGAAAGCTGGTGTGGATCATAGTCCACAGTTGAAGGTGGAGTGTTCCAGATATATATTAATTCCTACACCTTGACAGATTTGATTCCCATCAAAATTATGTAGTTTCATTTATTTTGATGATATATGATTTTTAGATTGATTATTTGATTTTTTTGAATCTCTGGATTTTTTATTTTTATTAATTGGATTTATGAATCCAAAGATATTCAATTTCAGTATTTAAATATTCGGAGAGAATTTCTTCAGTTGCAATATTCTAAAAATCATTTTAATAATTTTATAATTCATAATATTTGAGAGGGCCCATGGACTCCCAGTCCAACCATTGTGATGTGTGTGGGGCCCACATAGGGGACCCATGGGTGGCACAGCCCACTTAGTGGGGGTACTTTCTTATTTTCTGACCTTGTGAATCAAAGCAATCAATTAAGTTGAAAATTTACGTGAAGTGTTTTGTAGAGATTTTGATTGAAACAAGAATGAAAAGTTTTATGATTAAATTGCATTTGATTATTCAATTTTGGTATGATTTGAAGTCTAAGAGAGATAGATTTAAATCAAAATATTATATGATAAGATTATGGAAAAATAACACTATGATTAATAATATTTTCCATATTACAATATTTGATGGGACTAGGTTTAGGAAACTGGAGGATAAGGTTCTAACACGTTCTTTTGAATCATGATGGCTGAGTTAAGGAATGGATGACTCATATCTCTCACCCCACAGGTCTCATATGATCAATGGTCTAGATCAAATCTCACTAAGGATGGCTAATCCTAAGGAAACCCTAGACCATGAAAAATCTATAAATAGAGGCCTCCTTTCCCATAATTCTCTACACCACAAAACTCATCTTTCTCTGTAGAAGGGTGGCACACCACTCTCTCTCCTCTCTCATCTCAAAATCTCTAAAGGGGGTTAGAAGGGGGTCATGCCCCACTTAGTTGGTGAAGGAATTGAAGCCTTATGCAATTAATTGTTGCTTGCTCTCAAAATTAAGGGTTGAGCCTTAAGTTTTCCCATACTTGGTAGATCCGAGATATACCATTGATCCCATACACAATTGGAGGAGGAGACCCGGTTACTAAGCCCGGTTGAGGTATCTCTGGCATCTTTTACTTTGGGCTTTGTATTATTTCTTTCTTGTGCTTTCTTATTCCAAAAGCTTGAATAAAGAAGTTGTATTTAGTGGTAGCAAGTGAGAACTTCCTTTTATTATTTATTTGCATATTTCGAGAGAGTTTTATTGTACTTGGACCATTGTGAGTGATCTAGTCGGTGAAAAATAAAAGAAGAAAATTTATATACACCGTGCTAGGTCACGTTGTCCAACTTCCAAAATTTAGCTGTTTTCTTTTCTTCTTCTCTACAATATGGTTCCTTAATTCGTTATATACAGCACACTTGTCATGGTTGAAGTAAAGGATTGATGTTCAAATGCTTTTTTCGAATGTTATCTTACAAGCCCTTTTCTACTGCTAGATAAGCCTTTTCTTTTTGAAGATAGACTTAGCTGATTCATGTAGAAGTTTTGTGGACTGCTTATCAATTCTGGTGGTTTTTCACCAGGTTCATCGACCATCATTTCCCACCACGTAAGCAATTATATTGTTCCTTTCTCTTAAGTAACACAAACAACCCATTAAGAAAAGAAAAATAAAGAAAAAAAGAGATACATGCTCGAAGGAGTGACATAATGACGCTTCGTAGTTCAAAGAAGAGGCCTTTGGGGCAATATTTAGATGAAGAGGGAGAAGCTAAAATTTATAAGTTTAAAATTTTTATGCCAAATGGAATGAGCGTAGAGTTGGCATTGCAAGGGGAGGCAGCATTGGTCCGTGATTTTATTGCTGTTGTGAGAAAGGAGTATGAGAAAAAGACGAAAAAGCATTCTGAGCAGAAGAGGACTATCCAATGGGGAGGTGACATGTACTTGGAAGACATACTGGGCAATAGAGTGGAGGGAAGAATATCCTTTAAGAATTACAGTGTCAAGAAAATCAACATGCTTATCCTGCATGTGAGCATCGTTTTGCAACTCTACTAGTTCTTTCTTTTGATTATCTAATTAAATAGAATGGAAGATATGAGTGTTTTTAGTTATTTTTATTGTTTTTTCTTTTTGGTCAGGATGGCCATGCAGGAACCGTGGACACCTATCAGGTTGTAATCTATTCTTTTCTAACACTTGTTCTTCCAGTGTATGTTACCACATCAACTTCTTGGCATGACATGCATGTACAATTACAGTATTATGTATATTATGTCCTCTGAACTTGGTTTGGGATATGAGATTTATATTACATGTGATAGTTGAAATTTGGATGCTCAGTGTTTATGCCCACTTAAAGAAAAGTAATTTTTTTTTTTTTTTTCAGAATATGTGGGATATAACTCCCGATACAGAACTGCTGTCAGAGCTTCCTGCAGAGTACTCCTTTGAGACTGCTCTTGCTGATTTGATTGTGAGTAATTTGGATGATACTGCCTAAGTATTGGATTTGGTTTCATCATTGTACTTGTAAGTTTTATATTATTGATTTAATAAACTGCTTCACAATATCCTTGCTATTTTTGGGCTTATCAGGATAACTCCTTACAAGCAGTTTGGTCAAATGGTCCATGTGAGAGACGCTTGATCAGGTAAAATCACCATGTATCTGGATACTTTGGATACATTGCAAAGTTTTGAATTTGAGGTTGTGATTGTAGATGTGGGGTTAGTCTAAGAAGGGTGAGGACCTTAAACTTTCCCTTAACCCATCCCAAGCCCGGTTATAGGAGGTGGGTTGCATTAGAGGCTGCCAGTGTAAAACTTTGCCACATCTTATCATGATGATGACTGTGGATATGCGGTTGGTCTAAGAAGGGTGAGGACCTTAAACTTTCCCTTAACCTATCCCAAGCCCGGGTATTGGAGGTGGGTTGCGTTAGAGGCAGCCAACGTAAAACCTTGCTACATCTTATCATGATGATGAATGTGGATATTGGTGTGCCATTTCTGTTTCTTTTGGAATTTTTTATCTGTACATCTGCTCTTGAACTATCTTTGTAGAGCTCATAGGATCTTGTTTGTAAGGAGCTCCTATTTTTTTCCATTTGATCCTCTTGAGCCATTATGATGCTTTAAGTTTTGTTTGATTGACAGGCGATGTGGATTATGGAGTTGTGATGCTCTTTTTCTTTATTGTGTTTTTCAGTTTTAAATTTATATTTTTGATCCCTTCAACTTACCTTTTTATTTGTTGCAGCGTGACTTGTATTGAGAGGAAGATTACAATTTTTGATAGTGGGCAGGGGATGGATGGGAGTGAGGAGAGCTCCATAGTGAAATGGTGTGTTACATATGCATATTTCCTCGTAATATGTTCCAAGTGTTTACTAATGCTTGATTTGGGCTTGGCTTTACTTTTGATCTTAAACTTCTATTGAAGTTGTAGTGGTCAGCCTGCCTTCCTTCTAGATACAGTAGCTTCTCTGTTGCAAACAAACTAGATGCTTTTTTCCCCCAACTCTGAAAAATAAGCTGTTACTTATAAATGGATGTAATAAGAATTTGCAATTTTCTTTGATCAAATGGTTATAGTTACTTCACTCTCCCACAACTAAGAGATCAATTAGTGGATTGTGTAGAAATGGGTTTTAGCCCTTCAATTTATTAGTCTTTATATGGTTGATATGTAGTACGGTCTGTATAACAACATACTAAGCCGTCTGCTAGTTTTCATGAGTAATGTAGTTTTAATGAATTTTAAAATATGGCACAACTCGATAGAAAGGATACAAAAAAGTAGATGATGTGGTCTCTTCCCAAGAAGGAAGAGGAAGCAAGTGATAAACAAAAAGGGAACTCCTGTCCACTCCCTCTTTTGCCAAAGCATCTATAACAATATAATATTGCTCAAAACATTGGCAAAAATAATAGGGGCCTCATTGCATTGTTGAAACCATAGTTGTTGGAATCGGGAGCGGGAATGGTACCGGGATGGGGATGGGGATGGGGATGGGGATCGGGATCGGGATGGGGGGCGAGGGATTGTGAAATGCTAGAAGATCCCTATAGTTGGGAACGTCATCCATACAATGCACATGATAGCGATCGAGATTCCCAAATGTTAGGGATCAAGATTCCAACCTTTTGGGGATCTTGATCCCGACCTTTTGGAATCTTGATCCCAACTTTTTGGGGATCTTGTTACCAAAAAGTGTATAATATTCTAGGATTATGTATACTCTTTAACGTAGGTATCTTATTATTGATAGCAAACAAGAAATAGTTGTGTCGTTAGTTGGCTATAAGCAAAGAAAATCATCAGTTTAGTTGTTTCTTGGTTTGTAAGGTTGGAATCGAGATCCCTAACAGCAGGAATCAGGATCCTTATAAGTGGGGTTTGAGATCCCAAAATTTAAAATCGAGATCCCTGAGAGATCCGTTCCGGGAGCGACAGAATTGAGATCCTAGAAGGGATCGCCTACCAAAGTAGTAGATCCCGGTAACTATGGTTGAAACACCTCTTAGAAAATTGTAGAAGCTGTCCTAGTTGGAGGGGTCTAACCAGTCTTGTTGGATCAGACTGGTTCGCCGAAAATGCAAAAAAAGAAAACTTCAAGAAAAATATGGAGAAATCCAAAAAATATAGTAATTAAGAAAGAAATTCAGAAGAATTCTAAGAACAAAAATAAAAATATAACACCATTATATTTGGAAATGGGAAACAAATTATATTAGACACCATAAATCCACATCCGCAAAGAAAAACTAGCATTTAAGCATTAATGGAACAAATAAATGCGAAAAAACAAAAATTTCAGTTTAGAATAGAAAAAACCCAAATAGAGAACAACAAACTGACTGGGAAACCGAAAGGAAAGTGACATATATTGAGTATAATTGTTTTCCATTCCCCATTGTTTCATTAAACTAGGCTTTGTTTTAACACTTTTAACACTTACAATATCCTTGTTTCATATGTCCACATCTGTGGTGACAAAGCTAGAGGGCCTATGAAAGATTTCCTCTAGTCAGGGGCGATAATGAACACTTGATAGCTTGGATTATCGTACTTACCTAAAGGTAAGGGCGGTTCAGGCATTAGGAGGCTGACAGAAAATTATTTAGTCTTACTGGGAATATGGTGGTGGAGGTACACTCGAGAAGATGACAAACATTGGAAAAGAGGTCATCTAGGTAAAATATGGGGTTGAAGATGGAGGGTGGTTCCCATTATAGTATCTTTCATGGCAAAAACGAGATTCAAGCTGTGTTGTGGTCATCGCATTCGGTTTTGGAACGACTTTTGGGTGGGGGATCAACTGTTAATGGCACGGTGACCTTCCCTTCTTGCTGTTGCAAAGAACATGGACATTTAGGTGGCAGAAGTCCAAAGTTTTGGGTGGTGACATTATTTGGTCACGTCCTTTTTGCAGGGCACTCATTGATGAGGAATGCTGGCAACTGGTACTCCTCATCAACTCGCTCCTAGTCTTGTTTTGCCCAAATAATTGTCACGATAAACTGATGTAGGCCCTGGTGGCAACAGAGAAATTCTCGGTCTCATGTTTCTTCAATTCTCTTAGGTCCACTACAACACAGATCCCACTCAAGGTGTGGAATTGTACCGTCCCTCATACAGTCCAAGCCTTTAATTGGATTCTGCTCTCAGGAAGAACCTTGCCCATTGACCAAATGTCAAAATGGGGGGCCATCAGCTACCTAACCATTGTGCTATGTGTAAGAAAGCAGAAGAATAATTGACCACATCTTCCTGCAGCACGATGTCACTCAAATTTTGTGGACAACCCTACCCGAGACTTTCTATTATCTGTGAGTGACCTCAGCTTCCGCCCTCCCAATTTTTGAGGCCTTCTTGATTGTTCAATATCCCAAATTGGGGTGTCTGCGATGGAAGGTCTCGGTAATGGCCATTTTATCGAGAATATAAAAACAACGAAATTGCTGGATATTCTAGGAGAAGATAACACTCTCACTGTCCTTTCGGGACCTTGTCAGGTCCAAAAGGTCTTCATGGGCCAAGGGACTACCTGTCATTGCACATCAAAGGACCTCTCTCCTACGTAACAGCTGAGAGAGTCTTCTGCCCATTAGCCCATCACCCCAACAAACCCGCAATTTCTGGTGTCCCTTTCCTAAGAATGCTCTAAAACTGAATATAGATGGATGCTTTGTGGTGATTCCAGGCCCATTTGGATTTGAATGAGCGGTAGTCATCATCGCCTTCTCAATATTCATAGGACACACTGACTCGGGGGATTTTGAGTGACCTTCAGTTGTGTGCCTAGGGCAGCCAACGAAGTGGCTGATGCCTTGGCCAACCAAAGAAGAACACAATGAAACAACAAGTAGTAGCTCCTCTAGAGCTTCTTCCTCAGGTCCTCTGCCCATCTCAGAACCTCACCCCTCTTTCTTATTTTCTTTTCCCTATTATCTCTTATGTCTCTCTTCTCTCTTTTCCTCTTGAATTCGTCTACCCTCCCAGTCCCTTCCCCATTTCCTCCTCCCTCCTTTGGTACATGTACTCCTCTTTTTCTCTTTACCTAAGCCTCATTAAGGGCTGCTGTGTTTGAATGATATACACTCTATCATTTCTGATGGGTTTTGAGATAACTCATTTTGTTCTTTTGGTATAGAGCTCCCAACCTGTGGATATATTCCCTCAATTGGTGTGTTAAATAACAAAAATAATGAAAATAAAAAAACCAAAGGAACCAAGTATTTATTTTTAAAAGATGCATATAAGGCAAAAAATGTAATGTTTTTTAAACTTAATAATGATAAAACAACAGTTAGAATCAACAAACGAAGCAAGTTATTTCATTGAGTTGGAAAAGAACAAAATCATTTTTGCAAAAACACAACGATACAAAACATTTTTGTTCCAAATAAAAAACAAAAAAAAATGATTTAATAGACTTAGTCGGGGGGAATGATAGCCAGATTTTTTTCTTGGAAGTTCCTGGATAATAAGGCCCGGGTTGGGTTGCTTTTAGGTAGAGTGGGAAAGGGAAAAAATTGCCAAATTTTGTTTCTCTCAAAAAAATTATATTTTTAAAACCCCAAATTCCACCTTTTTTAGCCAAGAAGACCAAAATGCTTGGAACAGAAATAAAAAGGACAAAAGAAACCATCCAAAAAGGTGGAAAAATTACTAAATAATAAAAGGGTGCAGTTGGCATACGAATGCATCCGTAGCCGTAGAGATAAGGTGCACCTTCAAATTTTATCATGGTATATAATTTTGATGTAAAATATTCTTAGGGTTATCTCAAAATTTATTTTTATACCTAATTATAAAATTTAAAATTTAAAAAATGGTTAAACTAAAATAGATCTATAAACATATGAAAATCTTGAAAATGGACGGTGTAGATAATATGTTGTAAAATGCACTATTTCTGAGACTTAAAATCTTTTTATTTTTCGTGGTCATACATCTCGATGTTGAGATGATCAATCAAAGGGTTTTTCAACATTAAAACTACTTTTTTCGATTGATTTTTGAGGTGCATTCGTAGTTCTACATTATACTGTTGCATCCTTATATAAACTTTTTCCATAATAAAAAGGTCAGAAACATATTTCTTTTATCCATTGGGACTCTCCTGTCTGGTCACTACACTTGCCGGTCCATTGGTTCGTTACCATTTCAGTTGACACATTGGTCCATGGGACAAACAGGATTGGAATGACCACCAGTCCGCCGGTTTTCTGTCCAGACCAACAGTTCCAGGCCAATTCGGACAATCTTGGAGGTAGGGTGCACTTCTTGATTGGAGCGTGGGTGTAATGAGAATGGGAAAATTATGGAGTTGGGAAGGTTTATTCTTAGGAGTTAAGCCATGAAAATCAGTAGAGACAACAGAAGATGTTGGCATTACAATAGGTTTTTGGTACTCAATCTGGATTGGTGGGGAACAGCAGGGTTAGGGAGGAGGTGGGATGTATATTTGTGGAGAGTAGCCTGTGTGGGGGAGTGTGTAATCTTGCAAAATCTGGTGTTTTGAGAGCTTTCTTGTGTTGGATGAGCCAAATGGGTTACATTTTGTCATGGAAGATAACTGAAACAGAGAAATGTGCTATTTGTTCTCCAAATTTGCCTGAAATATCTATCTTATTTTCACAAGTGAATCAATGTGCTATATCGTATGGTTTCCCAAATATGTCTATGCGTGTTATTCACTATCTCCCATTTGTCCCTGCTGTTATTTGGTTCATTTTAAATTGTTGAAGTATGGGGCTCCAAGATATTCCAGACCCCATCCTAGGTTGTAACAGTATTTAACATTTCTATAGCTTGACATGTATTGAACATCACATGTTTGTGATGCATTAGATAAGTAAGATAGCACGTGGAACCAACAAAATTCTAATAGATGGCTAGACCATTTATGTTCCATTCGGTTCACTCATGTTTGGTAATGATCTGGAGAGTTGGAACATGTAGTTACGTGACAATCTGTCTCCAACCATGGATGGAGAGATCTTCTATTTCCTGGGTAATATAATTGGAATAATCATATTATTCTTCATTTGATTTTGTATATGCAATATTCCTTAATGTTTATCTGCCCTTCAATTGAGTCTTTCAAAAAGGCATACTGTACTACCACCTCTTTTTTCTCTCTCTTATTCTATATCTTTTTAGTGGCTGGTTTGTCTGGGCACACTTTGGTTCATAACTTGGTTTCTCCTATTTGTTTACTAAAGTATTTCTTGTGGACTGCTTTTTGCTATTTGATTTGTTCATTAAATTTGTTTTGTACATTAATTGAAATATGAATGTCTTACAGGGGATAATACTAATTTTTGGGTCAAATCATCAAAATGATAGAGGTTAAGAATGCTTCATGATCTAGTGATTTGCCATTTTAGTTTTTCTATTTAATAATGCAGGTTCCCTCTGTTAATTGCTTTGATGGTAACTCATTGTCTTTTGCCTTTACACGAATGTACAATTTTCTCTTGTATATGTCTAAATAGCTGTGTTGCCTACTTTTAGGGGTAAGATGGGTTCGTCCAATCATCGGTATTATAGAGTTTCAGCTATAGGTGGTGATCCACCATATTTATTGGTAAGCACATATCAAATAATTTGTCACATTTATAATCACGTTCGATTATTTAATTTATTCAATTCTTTCTTTTGTATTTCCTATTGACTCCTTTCTCACTTTAGGTATGTGTGTATGCAATGCAAGGGGGGCACATCTTTGTATGTACATATTGCATGCACAGAAACAGTTTGATGCCATATATTGCATTCATAAACAAAGAGGACAATGATGATAATATATGGAGAAATAGTTTGATAAGAAATTCATTTATATGTGCATAATAAACACACGTATGTGTCTGTGTGTGTGTGTTTAGTATCAATTGATAGATAGATCGACTATTAGATAATCTAGATACATATATATTTGTACACACTCATATTTTCATGTACACATCTTGGTATTTGTATGTGTGAGTATATGCTCATATGGATGGTTTTGTGTGTGTGTGCGCGTGTGTGCATGCACAGCTGTTGTACATTGTGTATGTGATGTATTTATGTATATGTTTATGCATATATGCATGTGTATTTAGATGTTCAGATAAAACACATCCAAATATTCCTACTTCAATATCACTTGCCGTTGATGTGTTCGCAATAGCTGCTATTGAACTATTATTTTTTGTTTAAACAGTCTTGATGTTTGAGTTTCTAATGCTCTTATTTTGTTGGAATAATGAAACGGAAAGGCTGTGATTATTGATGAGATATAATTACCATGTGAAAGGGGTCTTATTGAGGTGCCCCAAGGGACATATGATTTGGGAGGGGGGGGGCGGGGGCAGAGAAGATAAAGGCATTGTCGTGAAGAAATACATTACATAAATATTCTGTGGTGTGAAGAGAGATATTGATATATTAGATATAAAGGCACGGGTGGGAAGATAAAGGAGGTGTGAATAAATATGTTATCACAAGCTTTCACAATTTATATTTAATTCTTAAAAATTCACGACATGAGAAAGGCAAACAATCAAACTCCCTTGCTTATTATGGATCTCTTTCTCTCTCTCTCTCGCTCTTTCTCTCTCTCGGTTTTTAGTTTGAATAGGGTATCTCTCCTCCCTCTCTGTTCTTTCTCTCTCTCTCTCTCTCTCTAATTGCTCTCCTTTATTGCTTACCAAATCCACATCCTAGTTGGAGGGGACCAACAACAATTTTCTGTTACTTTCATTGACATGCTTGTGACCACATATATGCAATAAGCACACACATGGATTGCACTTTTCATGTTATTGACTTTACTCTCCTTGTCATAAACTCTTAACTCTAATATGACGCATGCCGCATGTATATTTTTAAGGGCCTACCAGGTAAAGACAAAACTACGGAGATGTAAAACAAAGAAGAAGTCCAAAGCTGTGCAAACTTTGGCATCTTGATATAAAACTTGTGGTTTTTCTAGGTTGATTTTATCATAGGTGATGTTATAACGCATACCCATAAAGCGAATGTAGCTGAGATGAGGATGTTGAGATGGATGAGGATGTTGAGATGAGAAGGTATACAATTCGAAGTAAATACATTCAAGAGAATTTAGGTATGACACCTATAGGCAATAAGATGAGAGAAAATAGACTTAGGTGGCTGGCCATGTGTGCTGCGGGCCCAGTACAACATCTGTTAGGAGGTGCGAGTTAATTCAAGTAGAAGGCTGAGAAAGGGCAAAGGGTAGACCTAAAAAGCAATGGTTGGGAGTGGTAAGAAAATATATGGGGACTTATGGCCTCACTGAGGGTATGATCCTTGATAGAGCAGAATGATGGACCAGGATTCTTGTAGCTGACCCCAATTAGTTGGGAGAAGGCATTGATGTTGATGATGGTGATGTTATAATGCAATGCAGCGTATTGCATTGCATGGAAACCTATAAAGTGGCAAAAATACATTTAAGTGAATCGCGAAAATTGCATGTTCAAGATGATGTAAGAGCAAAACCATCTTGAGTCCCCACCTTGGCACCTAGGCGCCTGCCTAGGGCAAAAGCCTAGCACCTAGAGGCAGATTCCCTTGGCGATGCGCCCAGATGTCTCAAGCAGGTTGCCAAGATGTTGGGGAGGGCGGATTTTTCTTCGCTATCCTTGGGGATATGTTCCTCTTTGTTGATGTGTATCATGGAAATTCCTATATCTCTATCAGGGTATTCAATTGATAGCTAGCGACTCCTTGCTATAAGCTGCTACGTATGTATTAATTGTGAGAATGTAATTCTGTGATATACAGCTGTTCTTTATCTCCCAAAACTACATGGTATTGCAATTTTTCCATGTCACTTGTGATTGAAGTGTATTTTAGATGAGAAGTACTTTTCTTGTCATTTCCGGTAGTGATAATATGACCAATAGCCTCTAGCAGATAGCTACACTAGAAGTTGATAATCAACCACCCCACTTGTATCTAATAGCTGAAACGGACCACCCATTCTCTCAAACAAGGCTTTCTACTATTGTTTTTTTGAGAAATTTTTTTTTTTTTTTTGAGAAAGATGGCTTTTTACTACTGTTTTGAGTCCATGCGTTGGGGGGCCCGATGCAGTCAATAAATATAAAAAAATTCTAAAAAATCTAAAAGAAAGGTTAATGAATAGGAAAAAATATGGACGTCATTTATGTGGTAGTAGGTATTTAAATTATTCATTAACTCCAAAAGTATTAGCTGTCAGAGATTTTGTATATCCAATATCCGTTGATATATCATAGAAGACATTAGAAAGTAAAAACTAGAAATTAACTTCATAAAACGTTCAACAACCATAATCTCAAATTTGTTGTTAAAACTTTGCTAAAACTCAAATCAACCTCCCAAAATAAACAAATCAACAACCAAAATTCATTCACGTCAAAAATCCAAGAATTTTGAAAAATAAAATTTTCGCCACTTTTTTTTTTGATCGATTTGATCTCATAAAGGCCACGGATGTTGCTGATTTTGGTGGTTTAGGGGGTTTTATACCCCCCAAAATCCTTTCCCCCCTTTTTAGGGATTGAAAAGACCAAAATACCCCTTCTTGAGGGGGTATTTTTCATTTCACACGCAGTCCGCATATACGCCCTATGCGGGTTATGCGCTATGAGGCTGCAGTGGGATGCTGCACATATGCGGACACATCCCATCAAAAGCCCATATGCAGTGTCTGGTGATGCGGTTGCGTGTGTATCGGGCATGATGCGGTGGCATATTCGGCGATGCGGCCGCATTTTAAAAAACTGGTCACTGTTGCTTTCAACATTCATCATCGTCATCTTCAGCATCCGGGCAATCTCATTGCAACTTGCTTATTTTTACTTCTCTCTTTGTGAGCTGTCTAACTTGAGCTTCACTTTGGATATCTATTTACAACCAAAGGGTACTTCAATTTTTTTTTTCCTTTTTGAAATAGCCAAAGACCACTTACTATTGTTTTTTCTTTTGGTGTTCTTTTAGTGGATTTTTTTTGTTGAAATTTTAAAAATTTTCTTTTAATCTATATTGCGAGCTAGGTGCTGTATTTTGGTATTTTTAGAGAAGGGGAGTGTTGATGCTCTAGTTTGTTCTACTCATCAGGCTCCTGGGACCAGAACTCCCATATAGTGGCCCTTCTTCAGCCATTATTGACTTCTAGATTGGCACTTTTAAGAAAATGAAACTTATAGTAACTTTCCTGATCCATTCATCTTGAGTAATGGCATGCTAATAGATCGCAAATCTTCAGAGAGTTTTTGGCCTTGAGTATAATTTCAGTCTGCTATGGTACATTGAGACCTGCATGCTTTGAAATTCTTGCTTCAGTTCAGTCAACTGTCAAAATTCATGATTTAAGGATCTACCTTTTGTGCATTTGAATGTGGATGCATAGTCTATGATGCGTAAAATGTGTTGATCGACACTGCCATGATATCATTTTTCGGTGATACTTCTATTTACATCATCTATTTTTTAAGTATTTTTAGATCGTGGTATGCGGATACATGAATTTTTTTTGATCTCATATCTTGTCAATAGATGCGTAATACTTCTCTAATGACTTCTCACTTTTTTTTGGTTGTTAATTCTTGTCAATTTAGAGGTTTCAATCTTCCTTTGGATTGAGCTTACTTCTGTAAGAAAGAAGGAATCCCACATAAAATTTGCATTCTTTAGCTGGGACTGGCATTTCAATGTTTGGTGTGATGGAGCCTGTGATCTAAGACACATCCATAATATTTCGCAACCAGTTTATCTGAACTTCTTTTTTATTCCTGAGCAGGGTAATGTGGGGTTTTGGGCATTTTATTGTGGCCAATTTATATTGTAGTCATTATGTTCAGAAAACTCAGGTTTCATGTTTCAATCCCTGGGTATTTATTGTGGAAAATTTGACTCTACGCTCAATTGTATAAATCCTCTCATGTTGCTAATTGTCAGGTTGCGATATTGAAATAAAAAGTGTTCACTATTGAAATAAAAGGTGTTCACTAAGCTTCTTTAAACAATAGCCAATATGGCAATATCTGACCATAGGTTTACCATTAAGGCATGAGGGCACATGTGTCTATGTCATCAAGTCTTCCCTAAAAGTTGTGCCTGTTCTTTATGAAGGTGGCTGGGGGGTTGATTTCATCTGTAATATACCTTACAATTGGTTTTTGGTCCTCTTATGTATGAAAAATTTCCCCAAAACGCTTATATAAGGGTTGTTATCATCTATAGCTCATATGAGTGTTGTATTTTCTGCTTGTGTGACAGCCCAGTTCTTCAAACCAATTGCAAGAACATCTGAAGTTCTCATTGACAATTGCTAAGTTTCATGCATGATTCAGTTGCTCAATACTTGAGCTTGAGGTTACTCCTTCATTATGATATTTTCAAGCTAAAATTTAATATCCAGAACCTAGTTGTATGCCTCAGGTCATGGCTCTTTTATAGGTGTCTCACATTATATAAGTTATTTGGAATCTCCAAATCTTCAAGCTAATTTCTATTGGATCATCATTATCATCACCAGAGCCTTTTCCCAACTAATGTAGATTCAGGATTCGTTGAATGTTTTGGGAAAAGTTTTGGCTGCCTACCTAACCAGTGTTTTAAAATGTGGGATGCGGGCAAAAGCGTTGGGGGGGGCCCAATGCGGTCTAGATGCAGGTGCATCACCACGATGCGGTCAATAAATATAAAAAATTCTTACAAATCTAAAAAAAGAGGTTAATGTATAGAAAAAATATGGAGGTAATGTAGATGATAGTTGGTATTTAGTTTATTCATTAACTCCAAAAGTATCAGTTGTCGGAGATTTTGTATCCACTATCCCTTGATAGAAACTAGAAACTTGAAACTTGAAACTAGCTTCACAGAACATTCAACAATCAACTACCATAAGCACAAGCCTGCAACCACAAACTTAATAGTTACAAAATGCTACAAACTAAAGTCGATGAAGATTTGTTCACGACCCTTGAAATCCTCGATTTGTTTTCACAAGTTCTCCTAAAATTCCTCAAATCAACACCCAAAAGATTCAAATCGACAACCAAGCATTAACGAATGCACAAATCGAAGAGGTTCAACAAATAAAATTTCCGCCCAATTTTTTTTTTGATTCAATCGATCCAATAAAAGCCCTCAGATGTTGCTGAAAAATGATGTTTGGGGTGTTTAATACCCCCCAAACCCTTTCCCCCATTTTTGAAGGTCAAAATGACCTTATTACCCCTTGCCCAAAGGGTTCAGTTTCTAAAAAATGGACAGATTATGTGACCTGATGTGCTCTATGCGGGATACGGCTATGATGCGGACAGATGCAGCGCATATGCAGGCGCATCTCTCCAAATCGCATATGCGGGCATGTGCGATGTGCTGGGCAGTGCATAGCGCCTGATGCAGCCCGTTTATGTGGCAATGCGACCACATTGTATAATACTATACTTAACACAGCCCACCTCCTTTACCTGGCTTGGGACGGATTAAGGGATTGTTTAAGGTCCTCACCTTTGTTAGGCCTAATTTCCATAAGATATTTGATTATGAACAAATATGATAATCAAATTTCACTTAGATGATTATGTTTGAAACTGGCAACAACTTCTAGAATCCATAGGTCCTTGACCTTGTGTCTCTATGTTAAATACATGACAATATTACATTTAGACCAAAGTCACATACACAACTCAGGCTCCTGGCCCATATGGTGTGGATTTTTGCTGGGTTCCAATGAATTGTATTTCCTCTGTAAATTATGTAATAAAGATGAGTCTATCCTCTGTAACTTATGCAATAAACATGAGATCCCTCAATGCCAACCGACCAGTCATTATAATCTAGCTCCCAGTTTTACTTCCTGTACACCAATTTTTTTGTCTTTACGCAGATCTGTTACCCACCAAGGGCGCACTGCACCCGGATCAAGTTTTTATTTCCAAACTCTGTAGTGTTGATTGAAGTTTTCCTTTTCCTTTATGGATTTTGTTTCTGGTCTCTGAACCCTATTGGCTTCTCTCTCTGCATGCTCTATGCCTGCGGTCGGCCTCTATTGAGGATCTGAGTGTTCATGGATTCTCTCTCTTGTGTTGTATGTGCCTATGTTATGCTTTATGTCTGTGCTGTTTTCACTCTGTGGGTTCTCTCTCTCTCTCTGTCGGTTTTGGGATTAGACTCTGGGGGTTCTCTCTCTTGTTGGTCTGAATTCCATGGTGGATTCTCTTTTCTCTGGTGCCTCTTGATTTCTGGATCAATTCTGTTGGGTTCTCTCTTTTACACACTCTCACTAGGTTTACTAGTGAGTTCTGAATGGTTGGTAGGTTGGTCATGAGTTCTGTTTCCGACCTGGCATCATTGGAGTCCATGGCTCTTGGAAATGCTGGTCTGTTTTGTATTTTGGTGATGTTTTTTTATGGAAAAGATACTGAATTGGAAAAGGTAAAGGGGGAGAGGTTAAATGGAAATGGGGTACAAAGAGGGTGTTTGATGGGAGGCAGTAGGAACCTGCTACAATAAACGTGAGGTGGCACAAAGGGATGGATTGCAAAAGAAATAAGTGGCCAAGTCAGCTCCCAAACATGGTAGAAAATAGTTGAATTGCAATAATGCCCCCCTTTATGTTGCTCTTCGGAAACTCTAGCTGATAGATAATGTTTTTGACCCTCATTTGGCTATTTGCTTCTTTGTCACATCTTTGTTGCACTAATGCTTGCTGTCTGTTTTTACTTTTTGATGCAGCCCTGTTTTGGCATGTATGGATATGGAGGTGCTGTTGCCTCAATGCATTTGGGAAGGTTAGGTACCTGTTTATCACCTCTCTAGGTGTGTGCTGATGCGGGAGCCTCGGTTGCATAATGTGGGATTTCTTTGTTCTTATTTTGCAGATCAGCTCTCGTTTCTTCTAAGACCAAAAGATCAAAGAAAGTTCTGACTCTAGTGCTTGCTAGAGATGAACTCTTGAGTAACTCCAGCTCTGAAAAGATATGGAGGGTAATGGTTATAGTTTGGCAGATCTTAATCTTGTCAATGCATGAAATTCTGGTTACTTATTCTTTGAACTCTGTGGATGCGTAGATTTTGTTTACCAGATTTTGTTTAAAATGGTAATAATATTTATGTTGTTATCGTGTAGACCGATGGCGGTATCAGAGATCCTTTAGTGGAAGAAATGCAAAATTCACCGCATGGGAGTTTTACCAAGGTAGCTCCATATCAATTGATTTATTTTTATTCTTGGTGTTTATCTTTATAATGTTTGATCTTTTGACATTATCCTATGGACTTTATCGTCTTTTGCTTCCTTTATCACCTAGGGGAAATACAGCTAGACAACAGAACTTGTCAATTGTGTGCTTTGGGATTGGGGTATAAGTAACTCAAGTGCCATTGCTTCGCCTACAGTCAGTTATGATTCGTTCTAGAAATCTTCTAATGACCATGGTCCTTTCATAATTTTTGTGGGTGAAACTTGTTGAAAGATATTTGATTTATGTGTACTCTAAACAGCCACTAACTGAAGGAGGAAGCGAAATGGAGAGAGAATAGAGATAGAATAGAACGAGCGAAGAGAGATAGATGCGTTGGGGGGCGGGGGGGCGGAAAAATAATGTTGTGATCCTTTCGCAGGATAACTCCGGTAATTTATATTATTATTATTGATGAGAAAAATTACACAAAATACGTGTGTCTGAGTTTGTCATCCACACTTATCCCTTTAGACTCAATTATTCCATTTTATATCCCAAGCTTACTGTTGTTCTTTGAACACTCTCCCCAAGTTGGAGCATAGATGTCAATTATGCCTTGCTCGACAGCTATATCTTGCAGTTAGCAAAGATATATGCTAACTGATCTCTCGATTTCACATGAGGAGTACAAATAATGCTGGCTGTAATCATTTCCCTTACGAAATAGCAGTGTACCTCCATATGCTTCAATCTCTCATGAAATATGAGATTCTTAGCAATGTGAATGGTAGCTTCATTTTCACAAATTAGTTAACTGAACTTTTAACTCCTCTTGCCAATATAGTTTTCATCCACATAACTTCACATGCCTCATGTGCCATAGCTATGTATTCTGCTTTAGCACTTGATCTGGCTACAACATTTTGTTTTTTTACTTTTCGATGAAATTAGATTCCCACCAAGAAAGGTGCAATAACTTGTTGTTGGCCTTCTATAACGTGCCCATATTGAAGCACCCATATGACCATGATTAGTAAACAACAATCCTTTGTTACAAGATGACTAGAGATGCTTTAGGATGCGGTAGACAACGTCTAAATAAGGTTTTTGAGGGGTATGCATGAACTGACTAATTGCATTAGCAAGATAAGAGGTATCTGGCTGTGTAATTGTAAAATGTATAAGCTTGCTCACAAGCCTCCGATATTGAAAAGGATTGTTAAGTAACTCTTCCATTTGTTCATGAAGTCTATGATTGGTTTCTGTGGTATATCCATTGGTTTGGACCCCAAGATTCCAGTTCATTTTAACAAATTCAGCATGTGCATCCTCCGAGAGATAGCAAGTCCCTTCCCTTCTTTGATCTTGTCACTTTAATATCCAGAAAATATTTTAGTGGACCTAAATCTTTTATCTCAAACACTCTTCTGAACTAATATTTAAGATCTTCAATATATTCTAAGTAATCCCCTATTACTACAATATCATCAGCATAAACTATGACTACTGTAATCCCAACTCTGTTTTTCCTCACAAACAATGTATGTTCATCTTGAATCCTTTTAAACCCAATCCTTAGCAATGCTTCACTAAATTTCTCAAATCAGTTGTTGGTGATTGAATAAGCCCATATATTGTTGGGTATTTGTGGCTATTAAAGGCCTTATGTGAGCATGTACATAGTTGTTGGAAACGCTGGGGAACCCAAATCATTTTTAGAACCGGAATCACGGAATCGTGGCTGGCTAGAAGATTCATGTCTTGGGAACTTCACTAAATTTCTCAAATCAGTTGTTGGTGATTGAATAAGCCCATATATTGTTGGGTATTTGTGGCTATTAAAGGCCTTATGTGAGCATGTACATAGTTGTTGGAAACGCTGGGGAACCCAAATCATTTTTAGAACCAGAATCACGGAATTGTGGCTGGCTAGAAGATTCATGTCTTGGGAATCGTTGTCCGTACATTAGGAATTGCTAGGCACGAGCATCGTAGTTTTTGAGAATCATGTTTCGATCGAAATAGATCTAAGTTTCATCCACATATGGAATTGAGATTCCGTCCTTCTGGGAATCGAGATTCTTGTCCCTGTGGAATCGACACTCCCAGAATCAAGATTCATTAATATGTGGAATTGAGCTTCCGACATCTATGGAATCGAGTTTTTGACATATGTGGAACATAGATATGTTGTTGTTTCGAATCGAGATTCTAACATATTTGGAATCGAGTTTCTGAAGTATATGGATTAGAGATCCATGCCAGTTTGAGATCGAGATTTACAATAATATGGATTTTGGAATGCGTTTGATGACCCCTATCAGGAATCGAGATTTCATTTTTATGAAGAAGGAAGCCACAAGCACATCTTGAGCCTCATCAACTTTAGATCCTATATTGGATGTCTCTTATTCGAAGGTCATTATATACAAAAGACAAGTATTTCTAAATTGTTATTTTGACGTCATTATTATAAAGACAAAATAGGATTATGTCTACGTCATAGTTTTACTTTTAATTGTATGTGTTGTATTTACCATTTATATTTTAAATTTAAGGTAAAGGCCATCCAGGGTGGCACAAGTAAAATAATGAAAACTTGCAACCACTCGGGCATCCCTAGATATTTTTTCCTCACTCAATGGACCAATATTCTTCACCATCATCTGAGAGTGGTGACCATATGTCAAACCTGGCAGCCACCACCCCAAGGAAGCATCAAACTGAATTTCGATGGGTGCTCTTTAAGGAACCCTTGCCCGGCAGCGGTCAGGGGGGGGGGGGAGGGGTGTCTTTCGAGACCACCTAAGCAATGTCCTTTTGACCTTCTTAGAGTATATTGGTATAAGGGACTACAATCATGCCGAAGCTCTAGCCCTACTAACTGGGCTAAAAATCTTCGATCCTTCCTTGGGTCCTATTTTGCTAGTAGAAGGGGAGTCCTATAGTGTTATCTCTTGGGCAAGGAGAACGAGCTCTCCACCATGGAAACTAGCCTCTTTGTTTGATGAAATTGATCATATATGCAGTGATATGGATTTCTCCTGGAGGCATATTTGGAGGACGTCCAACAACTTCGTTGACTTACAGGCGAAAGAGGGTGCTAGAAGCTAGGGCCGAGGATCAATGCTACCCGGGTCCGACTCCTATTTTGCTGAGGACTAGGGTCTCTCGACTTAATTTGGCTCACTTTTTTGGTTTTTTCCACTCAATGTATGTTTGCAAAAGCTTATTGTATATTGTTGTAATTGGGTGGCCTTATGAGCCCTTTTTGTATATGGTAGAGTAGCAATTTTTACCGAGTCACTCTTCTCTAGGGTGATCTCCGACCTCTTTGTAACTTCTCTTCAGCAATGCAATGTTAACATTCATCAAAAAAAAAAAAAGCATTCGAAAGAAGATTTCTACTCCAATTGATGTGGAATCAAGATTTAATCCTCGCTAGAATCTAGATTCGATATATTTGGGAACGTCTAGCCACAATCAATGGGTTCAAGTTTCTAAAGATGAGTTGGATCAAGATTCCGAAATTAAGGTATTGAGTTTTTTTGGTTTCGATAAATGGTTTCTAAATATGTGTTGAATCAAGACTCTGAAATTAAGGAATGGAGTTTCCTTGGTTCCAAAAAATGGTTTCTAAAGATGTGTTGTATAGAGATTCTCATGAAGTTTCCTTGGTTCCGAAGAACAGTTTCCGTTGATATTCCTTAATGGAAACGTGGAATCGGGTTTTGGAACTGGAAACACGAGGTTGGTGGAGAGATTCCGGTAACTATGAGCATGTAACCAAATTTACTATAGTGGAACAATAAATCCAATTGGAGTGTGGTCTAAAGGGACCGAGAGATTATGGTCTAGAGGGACTAAGATAGGCAAATGCTTTGTTGAGCTTCCTTAGCTGCATGTAGGACTTTATACCAACTGCTTTGCTGAGCTTCCTTAGCTGGGTGTTTGGTTATGGAGATCTTAGGTTTCCGTTAAATGCCATTTATGTTTTTGTGGTAGTGAGAATATTGTTTGTGATGGTTGGTGTTGTTTTTAATACCTGTATCAAAATGTTGATTATCATTTTGTTCGAGTCATCCCATACTATAACTTTATAAGCCTTCTCCAAGGATCGGTAAATGATGTTATCTTTCAAGCTTTCAGTACAAGATCCTTCACCGAGGGTTTTGGCCAACTGTTTAAGCAAAGCAATCATTATGTTCTATGTGATTTATTTACTGTGTTTAATTTTGTGGAGAGGGAACTAAGTGTTATGGAGAGCAGTCTTTGATTCTGACAATTAAATTCAGTGTACGACTGACTGAAATCTACATGTTGGGTCGTGGAATTTCCACCTCACCTAGGCCAAGTTGGGCACCTAGCACCAAGAGCCCATGCGTGTGCCTAGGGTTTTTATGACTGGAAAGCTGAAATAACCCTCGGGTTTAGGAATTCATTTCCTCATTTGTGAGGTCAAGGGATCAGGGAGTATTGGAACCTCCCAAGTCTCTCCTAACCACATTTTTCTAAAAGAAATTGGGTTGACCATCTAAGGCTTGAAATCTTTCCAATATGGGGAAATATTTTACTGGGAAAAGGGCAAGTCGCAACTTATTATTTGATTTTGATGCTACATAAAATGTTTTGGGGGCTTAGAAGGTATGTCATTGATATGTATAGATGCCTCCTTGGATTCCAAAGCTTTGGGAGTGGAGCATTACATAAACCTAATTCTTTAGATGTTAGGTCACTTAAAAACCTCATTGAAGTTTCTTGTGTTCATGAAATAATGTCTTTACTTGTCAAAAATTATGTTTCACGAGCTCATGAGACTCACACTGAAGCTATGATCCTATGGTGATCAGGGAGGGCCTCCACTTCTGTTAATATCTACATTCTGGTACTGATGTATATCGCCCTTTACTTATGCAATTCATTGTATATTTCAAAATGCTTATGGATGTTTTTGGGAGATTTGTAAGGAACTTCTTGAAGTAGTGTAAGTTCAACTCAGAAAATATAGAGGAATACATTAGTGAGGTGATGCAGGGAGAAATTATTAACCAGAATAATAAAAATAAAAATAAAAATAAAAAAGGTGGAGGGATTATACTCTCTTTCTAGGTTTGCAAGGGACTTCTCTCTTTGGTATGCAAGCGAGTTGTGATGACCCTAATTTTTTTGAAACTGAATAAAATACTTGCATAAAAAAATGATTTTGAGTGATGGTTCATTGTATTGTTAATGCACCATGGGACCACTCTTTTACAACACCCTTTATTTCTGTCGATTTTTTTTTAAAAAAATATTTAATTAAAATATTAGGGTTTAATGTGGCATCATGAGATAATGATATAAAGTGAGGTGGCAATATAAGAGAATAAGAGGAGGTGATGTGGCATCATAAAATAATTAACAAAAAAATAAAAATAAGAAAGGAGGACACATGCCTTGACATGTGTCAAGATGGGGAGTGTCCTCCCTCATTTTAAAAACATTCCCTCCCTCTCATGAGCAAATGATGAAGCTCATCAAAGTTCCTTCTCTCTCTATGTAAGTCTATTTCTCTCTCTTATTATAATTATTTTTTTATTTTTTTATTATTTCTTTCTCTCTCTCCCTCAATATTTTCATTACTCTCATAATAATATTATTAATTTAATCATATTCTCTCATAATGATATTATGATATTAGTAATATTCTCATTATTCTCATAATAATGATATTCTTGTAAAAATATATTATTTTCTTTCACTCATAATATCCTCATTACTTTCTTATAATATTATTATTATTTTAATAATATTCTCACGGTCATAAATAATAAATTTTAAGATTTCAATATTATGTGTATCAATTTTAGATTATTACACATGACTTATTCAGTTATATATGATACATTTAATTTGTATTGTGGAGTTCAATTAGCTAATTTGTTAATATGAATGGTTTTTACATACGTATTACATGTGTCATCATTACATTATTACTATTATTTAATTTAGTATCAATTTTCATTTGTATAGTGTTTGTATGCATATTTTTTGCACTGTTTAATATTGTAATATTCATTATAAGTTTTATTTAATTTTTATATTACATGTTATAATATGTTATCATCACATGTTATAGTATGCTCTCATCATGATAATGTTCTCAAAATATTCTCCTAAAAAATATTTAAGAAACTTATAATAGTTCTTCTCTCTCTCTCATCCTGTTCTCATAAAAACAATTCTATAATATTTTTTGCTCTCTTATATGAACATATTTTTATGCTTATTTCCCCAAAAAACTGATTTGCTCTCACTTCTGATACCTTTAGTCAATTCCACTTCGGCAACGGTAATAACATATCCATCTCAGAGTGACATATAAGTAAATGACTTCATTTTTCCTGTAAAATCATTATTAAAAAAATTGATATTTCTGTAATATTCCAAGAGATATTTCGGCATTTAATTGTAATATTTCCAGCATAAATTTTAGATACTGTAAGTGTTATGTGCAAGTGGCCTTACTTTCCTGAAAAACAAGTGTTTAAAAATTTGGGTTTCTGCGCTATAAGTTTTACGTGTTTCCGTAACGTGATTATTTGAAAATATTGTCAGTGTTATGTGCAAGTGTTATGTGCAAATGTTATGTGCAAGTGTCATGTGGAAGTATTATGTGAAGTGTTGTGTGCTAGTGTTTTGTGCAAGTGGTTACTATAAATTGCTTCATGTGAATTCATGTTAATAATTTCAAGGATATTTTGAAAATACGATATTATTGTTTCTTGAAATTTACTACATTGATATATAGCTTGCAATTGGCATAATAATGTCTTTTGAATTTATATGCATGATAATATGACATATTGATGTCTCTTGTGACGTATAGCATAAACATGTTGATGTTTCTTGTGATTACATATGAGATATACTTCTGATAAGATATGTGTGCATGATAACATGCTTCAGATAAGATATGTGTGCATTGTAACATGCTTCTGATAAGATGTGTGTGCATGGTAACATGCTTTCGATAAGATATGGACGCACGGAGACATGCCTCTGTTATGATTTGATGAGATACTTGTGTCGGCAGCTGTGATTTATTTTTACTCTCTATGATAGGATGAGAGTTAGGAGTGTGTATGTTTGGGTGGTCGCTCCCCCAAACTTATGTTTGGCACTATTCATTGGGACCCCTTTGTTAGTGTAACGCTCTCTTGCTAAAAGGGCAAATGAGAGGGCCATGTATTGCAAGGCCAGTGCTTATCAAAAGCCCCAAAGCGTGTTGGGGTTTTGTGCATGTGTGAGGCACTATGCAACGGATTTACCCGTTGGTGGTGCTTCTCCTGTGGGATGGTAGAAGTTCTAACCTTGTACTCGAGGTTAGTGCTTCTACTGCAGGACTTCTGTTGTTGTGAGAACTTGTTTGATCATATCTGATACTTAATTGCAATAACGTTTTAAACAACTAAATTTAGATTATTGTTGATCTTGATATGAATCATGTGCATTTGGTTTATGTATCATACTTATTTTCTTTGTCCAATAAGGAATACAAGATATTTGTAAGATTAGAAATGAATCTGTCTAATAGCATGTATTATAATGCATGAAATCAGTAAATTGAAATTCTGCTTAATATGCATTCTTTTTCACTTTCTAACCATGATTTTTAAGGATAATGATGGTCACTTACTGAGTAGCCAAACTCATCAAGCTATTGTGAAATTTTTTCAGAGTAATTTCAGCCATATTTTTTGTATGTACGACAATAGTAGTTTGGAAGAAATTGTAGTCATGGATAAATTCGCCTTTGTAATTTTTTTCAATCAAAGTTGTATATATATATATATATATATATATACATATATATATTTGTAAAATAGATCTTCATGTTATTATAAGCTGTGAAATAGACTTTGTAAAAGAAAAAAGCTTTTGAATGGAAAATTTGTTTTGGAGCAATATATAGTAAAAATTTCGAATTTGTTTTGCTCTTTAAGAATGAACTGTCACATCTCAAGAATTTTAGTGTTATAAAACTTGGGGCGTGACAGGAGTCCACCCCAAAGATCTTTTCACAAGACTCAGATTCTTTACTCAATTCCATTCCCTCTGTTTAGAGGGGCCACACCTCCTTTAATACAAGGAATAGAAAAGAAATAAAAATAGAATATGCAAACAAACCTATCTCCATCTACCACCTTATTCAACCCTTCCTTATCTCTGTGTATACTCCACGTACTACCCTTTTCATCTCTCCCTTATCCCTCTCTAATATCCCTCATGTTTCTCTCTCTCTTTTTACTTTATCCTAACCAAGCTACCTCATTAAAACCAAGTGTATCATAACCAACCCAAAAAATATAAAATTTTATTTGCATCATTCTCCCAGGGTTGAGAGAAGGTAGACCTCGAGCTTACATCCTTCAGAGGTCAGTTGAATAACTGGTGATGTAATCCCACCTTTCTTCTCAGTACTTTGCCTTCAATAAACCAATTGATCCAACACAATTTGTAATAGAACTCTAAGATCTCTAGCTCAATTGTGATTTCTTTTTCGAGTTCCTAATAAAACTTGAGAAGATCGACCTAAATACCAAGATCATGTGGATGCTCTTCAGATCGTGGTTTTTGCATCACAATGTGATTGTCACATTTTGGATCGGTACTCTTAGTTAGTCATGGGCCTCGATCCATCTTTACAACGAAATCTGGTGTCAGATCTTCATAGTTGCGAGCAACCTCTTCTCGAATAATGGTATTCTTCAACTGTTGTAGCGTCTGTTTAATTTTTTGTATGTCTCCTCGAATACCCTCCAAGGCTGTGTTCATGCTCTTCCTAATTTGTTGATCCACAAACTCCATGATTTGCGGAAATATATCATCGAGTGTAAGAGCAAGTTTCGATGGCATTGTGATTGATGGATCTTACTTGCTCTGATACTATCTGATGTAGGGAAAACTAATAGCTTTAATACCAACTGATGCAGGGAGAAAATAATAACCAGAATATTTAAAATAAAAATAAACAGGGTTGAGAGATTATACCCTCTCTTTGGGACTGCAAGGGAGTATTCTCTCTGGGTCTGCAAGGGAGTCTTCTCTCTGGGTCTACAAGGGAGTCCATTCCAAAGATCTTTTCACAAGTCCCAAATTCTTTACTAAATTCCAGTCTCTCTGTTTAGAGGGACTACACCTCCTTTAATACAAGGAACAAAAAAAAGAAAAAAACTATCTCCACGTACCACCTTTTTCAACCCTCCCTTATCTCTCTCCTTCTCTCTATACTCCACGTAGTACCCCTTTTCAACTCTCCCCTATCTCTTTCTAATTTCCCCCACGGTTCTCTCTCTTTGGACTTTATCCTAACCAAGCCACCTCATTAAAACCAAGTGTGTCATAACCAACCCAACAACTAATCCTATCCATATCCTAAACAACTCAATCCCCAAAAATAAAGGATTCCAATGCCCACCATCAAGTATCCCATAATATAAAAAATTCCTAACCATAAAATAAAATGGAAAAATCCTCTACATGTATGAAATACAATTATAGTGAGCTTTCCTTAAAAAAAATAAAATAGATACCTAACCGTAAAATAAAAAAAAAATAAAAAGGTCAAATTTTTTATTTGCATCAATCATGGATTGATATATTTAATTATGGAATTCTATTGTTTTGCTCATGAATTATTGTTTTTTATTTTATTTTTATTTTTAGAAATGTATTTTGTTTGTTGTTTGAGATGTTATGCCTACATGATATCTATATTGTACTTTGTCCTGCAAGTTTGACAATTTTGAGAATTCTCTCCATAAATCTCTCTCTTTGTTCTTATTCATTGCAAGGTTGTTATACATGAAGCAAGAACTGAAGGGTTGGACGAGTATCAGCTGATTTACAGATTGAAAGACATCTACTTTCCATACATTCAGGTTTTCTGTTAGACCTGGACCTAAGTCCTAGACTATAAGTGTGTTGGTGGTATGAGGTTTTTTATTTTAGTTGTTGGAAATTCCTATGTTTCCTAATCACTTCAGGAATCAGAATCATTGAACCGTGGGTATTACGATGATTCCTGTGGTCGTCCATACAATGAAATCGATTCCTATTGTATGGGAATCACAATCCAATAAGAATCGAGATTCCTACCTTGTTGGAATCAGGGTCCCATCAACTTGAAATTGAAATTCCTAACTTATGGGAATCACACACCAAACCACTTGGAAAAGGCCAGAAATTATCACTTGCCAAGTCCCAAAAGGCAAAAGGTTTGAGGTTTTAGATTAGGGCAGTGATTTCATGCAATGATGTTATAATGCAACAACCTTCAAAAACCTTGATAGGGCCATTTGTTTGATCCAAATTTCAAAATCTACACTCTTTTCATTCTAATGAACAATCGCAAAAAAGAAAATTTGAAAATGCAACCTAGAAAGTATTTTTTTAGCTCAATTAATATAAGCCATCCATTTTCGTGATATGCTTAGATCTAAGACCTTAAGAATGATCTTTTTTCTTTTCAATTTTTTTAGATAATTTTATTATCATTAAATTAACAATATTAAAAAAGAAAAAATGATTTTGAATTCATAAAGGTCTATATCTTCATATTCATTAAATGGACAATCTAGATTCATTGTTGGAGGGGACTCATTTTGACCATATATGTGGTGCAAATTAGTTTTTTTTTTTTTAGATTGATTATTGAGATAAAGAGAGTGTGTGTGCAAAATTTGGGGTCATACAAATACCACAAATATGGTTTGCTAGAAGTGTGGTTGCATCGTACTATGATACAACTGTTGCATGAATCATGGCCCTTTAGATTATCTATAAGCAAGAATGCCTTCGTATTAGACTCCACATGTTGAGTATACTTATTCAAGGCTCCCCGATTATTGGAATTGATGTCTTTGACGACCTGCCCTTGAAATTGGAGTCTTATGTATTGAGTGCCATTCATCACATTTCTCCACAAGTATAGGAAACCAAATCGAGTACCCCTAGCTAAGTACTTTCGGGAAGGTCATGATTGAATAAAGAAAATGAAATCACTTAATTTTTTAGTAATGCATTTTGAAAAAATAAGACATTTAGTGCAAATTCTTGAAATTTAAGAATAATGTAAACTGGAGTTTGTTGACACCCATAGAGTTTTAGATTATTAATAGTATGTTTTAAATGGCAGAATTTTTCAAGTAATGTTTAAAAACTTTCATGTTATTCCTAAAAATTGGAAGTGAAGTCTCATATTGGTTGAATCACGACCTTATGCACTTATGAATTGCAATATTTAATGTAGTGGAATCTATATTCCAAAATCATTGGAACGAGATTCAAAAATGTGGAACTGTGATTCCTAACCTCTCGGAATTGGGATCTGTAGCTATTCCTTCATGGAAATGTGGAATTATGAATTCCGAACTGGAATCGCAATTTGATTGCTAATGACATTGCAACTTAGGATGGACAATTCCAGCAATAGTAATTTTGATTAATTTTTCGAGTGATAAGTAATCGAATTAACTGGTTTCTGAATGATTTTGAGGAGACTTCTTTATTTAATAGTAATCTAGTTGTGAGATGTGGAATTGGCGAGTCTGAAAAATCTATTGCCATATTTTACTCTTTATCCTAGGCAATAATAAAGTGTGATACTCTGTTGATTTTGTTATCTCATTGTAGTTGCTGCCACTGTCTAATATGGTTGTCTCCTTGAACTTGCAGTATGATGAAATGGGTGGAAAGACAACTATGCCTATTGAGTTTCAGGTTTCCCTTTGAACCTTGTATCATGTATATGTGGTGCTTGTTTCTTTCTTGTTTCAACTATAATTGAATAATTTATTTATTTATTTTCATCGTCTATGGGTGAAATGAAATATGGCATTTGTATTACAGATTATATGACATTGCTGAGTCTTTGAGCATCATGCATTCACTAGTGATCTTGATGAGAATATTTGCTAGACATGGTTTAATGCTCTTCACATCCACCTGGTACAATATTGTCCAACTCTGAAGTGGCTGCATTTTGTGTTGTCTATCAAACAATTCATGTCAGCTTCCTGGTTTATCTCAGGGTAATGTATTTAAATGTTAACATGCATAAATTCTGTAATAAACACTATAAAGAAAGTGTGACGGAAGAGGGAAAAAGTTAGTTGTATAAATTCTTATAATTTGGAAGCTAATCCATGGTTGTGGCATGGATAATGCATGAAACAAGTGACGAGTTGCTATGCTTTAGCCTTTGGATATGGTCCTGCCTCCCCAGTTCAAACTTTTAAATGAATCACAACTTTCAATAGGAAGTCATATTCAAGTGAAAGTTAGAATTGCACTTCTTCAATCATGAGATTCTATTGAATTGCCCTATTTTGTCTGGCTTTCTTTTGATTCATATGCTAGAGGAGCCCTTTACATGTTGAAAGGTGTGGCTATGTAGAAGTCAAGATATTAATTCAAAAATTTTCTTTTACTTTTGTTTCAAATACCTGAAATCCACTTTCATGGGCCACAATATGTTGTTGTAATATTAAAATGAGGATGCGGTAAACATGCGGGCTAAACCCGCACATGTAGAAATGTGACTCCTCTTAAAAGTTCTATTTTTGAGATGAATTTTTGGACGTAATTTTTTAGGACATGTAATCTCTAACATGGAGATCATGAATATGAATAAATAAATAAATTTTAAAAATGAAAAAAAATAATTCTATTAAGAAAACATTTGGACTATTAGTTTTCATTATTTTTAAATGGACCACCTACTTGCATCCATCTTTAAGATGGATGTTTTTCACATCTGGACCGCATATGTAGAAATGTGGTTCAGCCTGCCTGAAATAATTTTCCTTAAAATAATGCCCTAGATACATTTTAGGATCTTTATTTTGCAGCCAAGAGAAATAAAAGCTATTCAGTACCTTAAAACTATTGTCCATTAGAATTTTTAGCACAAAATAAATTCCTGAAAATTTACAGAAAATAGCAAATAATATTGTAAATTAATTTAAAACTATTGGGAAGGGTTACTGGAAGATGCATGGAGTTATCCTACCAGGATTTGGTACACTTCATGCCAAATTCCTTGACCAATGGCATACTTTTGCGTCTTAACATGTTGCCGGAATTCTGAGATTGGGAAGCTTTATTGACAATACTTCTTTCTCTAGGGTTTTAGAGAGCTAAAAAATAAACTAAGTTTTATAGAAACCCATTGGGAAAAAATTTGGGTTGAATATGTGACTTGTTCGCTCTTGAGGCTCAGTTTCTCTCTTCTTTCATCAAAATACAACAAACCCTTGCTCTAGGGTTTCTCCATAGAGGAGAGAGGGTGGCATGAGATAATGAGAAAAAGAACAAAGAATTGGTGTGTGAGAGAAAAGAGATAGATTTTGTCTTGGGACAGAGAAAGATCTTGTAATGAGAGAGATGGTTCAAACTAAATCTTTATAGAGAAAGAAATATGTTTCCTAATTTGAATAGGATTCTTCTAACTATTGTCTTATCCAGTTTTCAGCTAGACCTTTAGGACAAATAGGAATTGTATGGGGTGAGAGATTTAATCAGAGCCATCCATCCTAAAAATCAGCCATCATGATTTTGGGTGGAAAGATAGGCAATGTTATCCTTTTAAACTTTGACTCAAGTCCAACTCCTATTTAAATTTGAAATATAATCAAACTTAAATATTATTTAGATCTCCCATTTAAATTTGAAATACAATCAAACTTAGATATTATTTAGATCTCCCATTTAAATTTGAAATAAAATCAAACTTAAAGATTATCTAGATCTCTAGATTTCATCGGAAACCAAATCTAACTTAAAATTAAATAGATTTCCCTTCGTTAACCACTTTAGAATTTGAAACAACAAAAACAAGCAAGTGGGGTGTACCCCCCACTTCCTTAAAACAAGGCGTGCCCCTCAAAAAGTGGCGTGGTCCTTAATTTACCACAAAAAGGTGATGTGCCCTATTTTACCATAAATAATGGCGTGCGAGTAATTAAATATTATTTAAATTTGAAATAGTGGGGCGTGCCCCCCCGCTTCCTAAAAAGGTGGCACGGAGCTTTTGTTAAAAAAGAAAAAAGGTGTGTGGTCCCTATGGGGACACATAGACCCCACACATAAAAGAAACACACGCACATGTGAAGCTAGATCCTTCGTCCCTCATGTGTCAATTTAAGTTTTGAAAAAATTTAAAAATACCCTTTGAATGTATTTTACAGCACAAATAATATTTAATATTTCTTAAAAACTATTTAGAAATCATAAAAACATAATAAAATATATTTGGAGTGGACTGATACCTCTGGGTCAAAATAAGAGACAGTAAGGGTACTCCACTCGTCTCAGAAACCATGATCTGCTACTGTTCTCTTATCCAACCGAACAAAGTCCCATGACCCACAGTCTCTTTGTAGGGGCTCATGATTGACTTGTCAAAGTTGGATAATAAGAGCAAATCTAGCACTTGTCACCGCAATGGAAAAGGATGTTCTCTTTATGCACTTGTACATTTGTCCCTTTATAGCGTTGCTCCCCAGTAATGCGATTGTCATGTATACATGCCATGCGGAAGTTTGTTAAGGTTTTGGCCCTTGCTCTCACCGGCCTACAACCGCACATAGGAGACTGCACAGTTCTCCTGGCCTATAACGATGATCACTGGGCATCTCTCTGTCCTCAACAAGGGACGATCCACTGCAAACCCTTCTTGATTGCGTCACATGCCTTGGTTTAAGATGGACATAACCAAGGCCAAAAATTGCTTAACCCTTAGCCAGTCAACACACACACTCCCACTGAAGTGCATATTGCACTATAAATATCATTTTTACAAACTCTCTAGGCCTTTAAAAGCCACAAAACCCCAACACATACTCTCTTGTGCAGGGCAGATGGCACATTTCATTGTTAAAGAAAATGTTCAAACCATTAGAATGCACGCGGATGGTTACTTTCAGTGTAACATTTTATTCCTTACAGCTTAGGAAGTTTATGCATCTTTTTTTTTCTTCTAGACTGGATATAGGATTAGTATAATTGTAGAAACTGTTTGTTTTTCAACATTTAGAAAAGTGAGCTAATGTCCATTTAGGAATTGCAGTGGCTATAACTTCTTGGCTCTTGTCTGGGTTGTTTATCGGGCTTGATTGTTATTGATGTAGATGTGTCTTAGGCTGTGTTACTATTCATGTGTCTGATTTTGTGAACGTACCTTGTACTTCTTTCCATTTTATGCAACCTTTCATAGGTGAATGGTGTCGATTTAGCTGAAATCGATGGAGGGGAAGTGGCTGTGACAAATCTGCATTCTTGTAATGGTGGTGAATTTGTTCTACAACTTCTCTTTAAAGTCAACCATGGGATGGAACCATCACAAAGTTTAGGTATGGAGCTGATGATAAGATTGGTATATTGTAATCATGTGATTTTCTATTTGCTTGTTTCTCTAGAAATATAATGGGATGCTTTGTGATTTATTTAATTAATGAATCTGTACTACAATTAATTTTGTCATCAGGAGTTTTAGGAGGAACTTCATTCTAATTGATTCTATTACAGGATCGAAGGATGGTGGGGCAGATCGTGTTGCTAATGCCCGGTTAAAATGTGTTTACTTTCCTATTGTGGAGGTGAATTGTTTGTACTTCTCCATTTCTTAGGCATTTCTGCTGCTGTCAACTTCGTGTTTTTTGTCTTTTCAGGGTAAAGAAAGTATTGATAAGATCTTGGAAAAGCTAAAGTCCGAAGGATGCAGCATATCGGAGGATTTTGATAGTTTTTGTCGTGTATCTATTCGCCGATTAGGACGGTTACTTCCTGATGCTCGATGGGTATGATGCTTCTATCTAATGTATAAATTTGAAATTTTTATCCTTTTCTTCCATAATTGGAAAAAATTTCTTTTTCGGTCTTCATAAAGTAGTTTTGATATTGTTTGCTATGTTTATTGCTCCTATATTGTTATGGATGTGGATTGCATAGTATGATTTATACTTCATGGTAGGTTGCCTAGATTTTTGTGGTTTTTGCTGATATATCTGAATTTGAAATTGTCGAAGGAGTTGATAAATTTTTTTCAGCGAAAAACAATACTAAAAATTAGTAGGTCACCTATACCATTCTGATGTTATGCATTTATTGCAGATACATGTTTGTTGAGATTATGTTTGGTAGGGTGTGACTGTTTAGTACATGTGACTGACATTAATACCAGCTAGCTAGGTACATACTATGACAGCACATGCTACTTAGGAATTTGTGCTTTTACAAACCTGGTATTTTTTTGTAATTTTTTTTTTGGTGGTCGTGCAATGCTAAAGGTTTAAAAATGAGTTTTTTTTGTCCAAATGAGTTTTTTTGGTGGTTGTGCAATACTAAATTTTTTTTTTTTGGGGGTTTAAGAGCTTAAAAATGAGTTTTTTTGTGAGAGCGCAAGTTTGGCGATTTTGTTCTCTATCTGTGTGTACTAAAAAAAAAAAGCAATATGTGGCTGAAAGTCTGGTAGTTTTCAAGGATTCCGGCCACTCAATCCGCCCTCTTTTGTACCCAAGTCAATTTATCCTATTTTTTTGATTCATTTTTTATATTTAGAAAAAGTTGGATAATTTTTGGATTTTCAGGGTTCTTGCAAAGAGCAATTAATTTTTTTCAAATCTTTGCAATGGTATGTTTGTTGCACTCCATATAATGGTCTTTTTGGCTTTAACAATTTAATGTTATCGGTATTTCTTATATGGTAGCTTACATGTATATATTTTATATATATAAACAACATACTCACAGAATGAGTGTAGCTGAGATGAGGATCTTGAGATGGATTAGTGGCAAGATAAGAAGACAGAGAATTTGAAATGAATACATTCAGAAGAATTTAGGTGTAGCACCGATAGGTGATAAGATGAGAGAAAGTAGACTTAAGTGGGCTGGCTATGTGCAGCGCAGACCTAGTGCAACACCTGTTAGAAGGTGCGAGTTAGTTCAAGTGAAAGGTTAAAAAAAGGCCGGGGGTGGGCCCAAAAGGACATGGTTGAAACTGGTGAGCAAATATGTGGGGATTTATGGCCTCATTGAGGGTATGGCCCTTGATACAACAGAATTGCGGACCAGAATTCATGTAGCCAACCCGAACCACACTTGATTTCATAACTAATAAAATGATTTTAAGGTTTTTTGGAATTTTCAGAAAATTTTAACTAGAAGAAAAATGGTGGAAAATGAACAATTTCTGAAATACCAAAGGGCACACAATATGTGACGTATTGGCATATGTAAGGCCAAATAACAGGTGGGCCCACATGGGCACATGGGGGTTCCATAGATGGTCACCACATCCCCATTACATCATGCTGACGTCATCATTTGGACCGATGTGTCAAACTTGTCTTTGTTAATGTGGACCTGTGTGGAAGATTGTTAATTATGCGATTGGAGTTTAGAGAAAGCGGTTGACCTTGGTTTTTTTCATCAGGAGTCAAAGGGAATTTGTGTTGTGGGTTCATTGCTGGACACATTTTACAAGATTGTTCATCCATGTGTAAAGTAACACAAGACATGTGTCACGTATGATTGAAGCCCATGTGCCTCTCTTTTATGTCACACAGCTCTCCTTTCTCTCTCTAACTTTTTCTTAGTTTTCACTTGGGTTTATTTGACTTAAATGATTTTCCCATGGGTGCAAATGAGATCAGAATGTAGTCCTTTGTAGAGTTTTAACTCAAGGGAAATTAGAGTTTGAATGACTAGGAGATAAGGTGTGAATCTCCAATCTCAATTGATGATAGCTCATCAATGATTTAATGCCTTAGATGAAGCCTCTTTGCAATACATAGATCTCCAAGATCAATTGCCCACATTGCTTTAAGGACTCATTTACTGCTAACTTTCTTCCATAAAAAGGGGTGGTGGGTAGTTCATTTCTTGTCCATCTTTTTTAGTATTGTGATGATGCCAAAGTTTCGCCCAACTCATACTCTGCCTTGATGCCCCCCTTTATGTTCTTCCCTTGCTATTGAGTGGTAGCCATTGAAGCTCAAGTGAAGGTTCTTGGATCATATTTTGTTTCACCCACTTACTACATTGTCTTGTTGCCTAATCTTTTATTTCACTTCTCCGCTGAACTTCGAAAGGCCCTCTACTTGACTGAAATCTGAAACTTTTCACTCCATTACAGTGAGTTTTCTGAGCTATTTGTACCCCATGAGGGTGCAGATTGAGTCATCCTTTGGTCCATATCATTAACCCAATAATCATCACTTAAGCTCATCACCTTGGAACTCTACATTAAGGAAATTTACAGGAGCACACCGATGACCTAGTGACCCATTTGAATGATCCTTTGTAAGAGCTAAAGAACTTCTCAAGGCTTTCCACATTTGGAGCTAGGTGGCTCTTTGATTTGGCGCTATCAGAGGCACGGATCCTGTTCGGGTGTGACAAGTCTCGATCAGGTAATCTAGGGTACCCTTTCTTAGTTTACCACTTCCCATAGTTCCATGTTCCAGTGACTTGATTGATTTTGAGTTTTTATAATTGAGATCGTCATGGAAGTGTTTGTTGTGGTGTCTGTAAGTTTTATTCACTTGTCTTTGTAACACATGAGCTGAAGTTTTGTGTAAATGTGAATTGTTTTGTGTAGTGCAATATCCATTGTATCTTTGAATGGAAATTGTGCGGGGGCACATTAGAGGCTTTGATTGGCCTTGTTTCAGTCATACATCCACTGAACGTAATGGTGCTTCGAGAGTACACAATTTCACCCACTTACTACATTGTCTTGAAGCACCATTACGTTCAACTTTCCAGAAGTGTGCCCTCGTCTAGGGCAGTGACACTGGGGAAAGAGCTTGCTAGTTGTGCAACTAGCAAGCCTAGGTGGCAAGGTAAGAGCAGGATTATTTCCCACTTAGGACAACACCCGCTGCCTAACCAACCAGAAAAGCATATTGGCTGGGGAGAAGGCAATAACAAGGGCACACATGTGTGTAGTCCAGTGGATGTATGCCTTGTTTGTTGGCCTTGTTAGATGCAATGACATCCATAGGTTTGGAGTAGAAATTCCTTGCTTCCAGAATGCCAGGAATTGCTTGTTAAAGAATAATGTGGAAGAGGTTAGGGGATACACATAGAAGGAGTTATGGGCCAGCCATGGATGATACATCATGGCTTATAGGTGGACAGATGGGAGAGAGAGATAGCTCATAAAGTTTTGGTATATACTATGGTAAGTGCGGAATTTTATTTAAGTCAGTGGGTACCTCTGATATAATTAAGATTGTGGAGGATTTATTTGGTTTGTTTAAGGAAACTTGTTGAGCAAGTGGGGCTACAACATGCAGTCCAATTTATTACTAACAATGGAACCAACTACTCCATTGGGGGGTAGTTGCTGCAAAGGCATTACGTACCATGGGACTTCTTTTGCAGCACATTATATAGATTTAATGCTCGAGGATATAGGGAAGATGTCACATGTTGTATAAAAGGTGAATGGTTTTTCATTATTTATCTACAACTATTCCTTTGTCCTTATTCTTATGAGGAAGCATAAAAATGGGCTGCAGTTCCTAAGGGCAACAATAAGAAGATTTGTCACTAACTTCTTTTTATCACTAAGTATTTTGTAGCAAAACGATGCCTTGCAAACCATGCTTAAGTCAAGTGTGTTATGGGATGTAGTATGGATCAAGAAATGTCATGGGAGGGAATTGGTAGACTTTGTTTTTTAATAGCCTTCTCAGTTTTCAATATAATTCGAGTTAGAGTCGAGTGTGAGGTTGTTTAATGAGCTTGGAGTATTGTGGTATTGGTAAAGCACTACAATGTTTATGCTGGCAAGTTTGAGGGAATAGTAAAACCAACAAGAAACAAAGCCAAGCACAAGAATAATTCAAAGAAACCTAGAGTTTTTTTTTCCATACCCCAAGCTAGGGTTGCAAAGCCTAAGCTTTTAGCACTTTTAATTTCTAAAAAACATGTGGAATCGACCTTGTCAAGGCCCTACACACCTCTTATATATTACACTTCAATGTTCAAAGTCATTACATGTCCATACAATGATTAAAATGACCTATATATATCTTAACTTGAACTTAAAATTTGTAATGACAGTTTTACCCCTGTGAACAGTACCCATGAACATTACTCGTGAATAGTATTTGTGAATAGTACCCATGAAATAAATAAAAAACTATAAAAATACTAAAATTCTTAAAAAACTAAAAAAACCTAAAACCAAAATCATATATACATCCTTTAAAATTGAATAGAAATTAAAAATATGTATAATCTTGCTCTCCATCATTCTCCCCTTGTTGGAGAAAACGCGTCCTCGAATTTTGAAGCGTGCTAAGATGAATTCATTATCAAAAACACCTTCTTTGACCTTCTTTTCTTTGTTGGCTCAAAGATTATTCGTGGTACAAATATTTTTTTAAGAAATGGATCTGGATATGTATATTGAGGAATCAATGCAAATTTATCAAATATGGATATCCTTGAACTCTCTTTGAAAATTGTGTACGATACTCCAAACTCAATTTTCTGGTGTTTAGAAGCCTTCTCGACATTTATTTCATTACTCTCTAAATCCAAGGCCACAATTTGCAGATTTTGAGTCGACCATGCTTTCACTGCACTACTCTAATTCCAATGCCCTAAATCTCTTGAACGCTCCACCTCTTCAAGAATAATGAGATCTTCAAAGGTCATGATTTAGATTAGTCCTCATGCTGCCTTCCCTCCATATTCTCCATCCTCTTCCAAAATATCTTTATTTTCATCTTGATCCTTATCCTAGATTGGATCTCCTAAGTGATCTTGTTGTTCATCTGAGTATATATTGAAGATTGGTGGTGAATCCCAATCTACAACTTGTTGATTTTCGATGCAATCTGTGTCAAAATCATTAATCTCATCCTTCAGATCGAAGACCCTAGAGTTATGTTCCCCACATCTAGGTCTTCTATCGCTATCCTCAACATTTGACTCCCCACGTGGAGCGCAAAAGTAAAAAGACTTATCCTCGAGAACCTCTTAGGCTGAAAGATCACCGTCTTGCCCATTTTTTAGGCTCGTGAACTGCTTCATCAGCTGCTGTACTTGCCTTTCTAGTTCCTCAATTCTGTCATCTATGAGATCATGAAGTGGATCTATAAAAATCCCCCTTCGCGCCTTTTCATTGCCATGGGTTTGTCGAAATCACAAACCTCAGGTAAATTATCAACAAAAAACTGCTGAAATCAACAAGATCTAGGTTGTTTTGGCAAAACCTTAGCCAAAATCAGCAAACCTTAGACCCTTCTCCGCTTTGTTATTGACCTAGGGCACCAAAAAAATCGATGCTACAGTAACTCAGTACAATGCTACAGTACTTTATGTGTAGATCACAGGCTCTGATACCAAATGAAAACAAGGAGTAGCAAAGCTAAACAAGCGAAATGTTTCTTTTCCAAACCCCAAGCTATGGTTTCAAAAGCCTAAGCTTTCCTCTCTTTTAATTTTTAAAAACATGTGGAATTGACCCTTTTAAAATCGCACACACCTCTTATATATTACACTTAACTGTTCGAAGACATTATATGTCCATATAATGATTAAAATGACTTATATATATATCCTAACTTAAACTTAAGATTCGCTATGACAGTTTTACCCCTATGAACAATACCCGTGAATAGTACTTGTGAATAGTACTCATGAAATAAATAAAATATTATAAAAACCCTTGAATTCCTAAAAAACTAAAAATCCTAAAACTAAAACTAAAATATGCATCATTTAAAATTGCATAGAAATTAAAAATAAGTATAATTTTTCCATTCCATCAAATGTTATCGGATTCTAGGTTCTTTCCTAGAGGTTGTGGGGAGAGGCGGAAGGGCCATTACATTGAGCAGTTTAGGAAATGGGGGCACTGATTGGGAATATCTGTTACAAAGATGCCATGGATTAACATGAGCAAAGGAGGAGGAAGGTTCTGTTGGGTGATCAGAATCAAAGATAGGTGGATAGTTCGACATCTAATGGTGGAGAAGTCCAACACCCTCTCAGGTGGGAAAGGGGAAGGTGGGAGAGAAAGAGAAGTTATGGGAGCAAAGTTGGGATCAGATTATGGTTGAGAAGTTTGATGTATTAGCTGGGAGCTGAAAACACGCAGCAGCGATGAAAGACAACATTCCCACTTATATATTACATATTGCTAGTACAAACCCCAATTTCGCACTAACCTGACCTTCATAAAGAATTTCACACCACACTATACAAGATGTCATGAGCATAATATTGCAACCATTCATATGATTCCAAAAAATGTATGAGGATGCAATGTTACATGTTTGCCCCTGATGCCTTAAACATGTTACTAGTGTCCCTCACTTTCTCTAGTCTGGTCTCAAATATAGTGTAATTTGGAATTGGTTGTTTGTTCTTCATTAATTGGTTTTTGGAAAGGTGACCTTTTTCTGTTCATCAAAATGTATCCTCTTTGCATGGGAAGCTCCATACTTCTTGTCTGTTAATGTGGTAGTTTCCCTGTTTCAAGTATTTCTAATATTTGAATTCATGCTTATATTCCATTCAGGGAAGGCTTCCTTTTATGGAGCCAAAGCATTGGAAAGGAGATAGAGTACAAATGTTGAAGCGTTGCTACCTGCGAGTTAAATGCTTTGTGGGTAAGCGATTCCTTGTGACTACCAATTATGCCTTGGCAGTTCTTTCTTGTGAGGTGAATCGTTCAATGTTTCATTTTTAATTGATGTTTTATGAATATACTTGTCCTTTTCTGTGCTATTTTGTGTTTAGGAACTATTAGTGATCTTCTTGTCTTGTTGCAGAAACGGATGCGGGTTTCTCACCTACTCCTTATAAGGTGGACATCTTGACTATCTTCCTGTCAGTCAACTATTTGAAGAACTGTGTTACCTTGATATTGAGTTGTTCAAAGCCTATTAGCTACTGCTAAAGAATTTCTTGCTATTGATGTTGTAATTTTATATTTCTGTGTATATGTTTGCAAGGTATCACATTTTCTCTTCTGGTTGTTACGTGGGAGGAACAATAGGATAGAGGTTTATATGAAAGAAATCATTTGAATTTTTGATGATTTGCAATATTATTTGATAGAGAAGCTTGTGAGAGGTGCACAGGCTACAAGTGAAATGTGTAGAACTGAAGTGGCTTCTGTTGTGATCCTGATATGTATGTGCACTTGTGCAAATTACTGCTGTTATGGTGCCTGTAACACCCTTATATAAAATAATTTGATAGTGCGTAATGGGCAAATATGTCTACTGGTGGTATTGATACTTAGCTGTATGATGTTCGATCTGATGATAATAATGTTGTTAAGATTGGAGATAAACTTATATTCTAACAGGCCCCCCTATGCAGGCCCCCTATGCTTGGGTGCCAAGTTACTGGTAGACATGGTTGAGTGAGTTATGAAGATGATATGCTTTGGACACTTAATATGAATAGGGGACGGATACTTTCCACTTTGTTCCCCCTTCAACATTCCCTTGTATCATATGATACAGTTAAGTCCTTGTGTCCTTGTTAATTTTTTGTGCTTTTCTCTTATTGTACGTGTATTATGTGTTAGTATACCTGTGTTACTTGTATTTTCTCGTGAGGAGATCATTATTTTAGTTGAAGTTAATGTTGTTATGTTTCCGACTTCCCACCAAAGGGAGAATATTGTAAAATGTCTCTTTGCTTAGTGTTTGAGACTTGGTTGAGTCTAGGAGTGGCAATGGGTCGGGATGGTCTGACCCGGAACTGATTGGGTCTAGAGTCTTCCCACCCACCTGAATTGATTTGGAGGACCTAGCTTGACCTGGACTCGACCTGAAAATTCATCTGGCTTGGCTCGACCCCACCTGATCCATATTATAGTATTAGGTTAAAGTCTTGATTACTTAAATTTTTGTATTAGACATTGTATTAATTTGATCAAGGTTTTGATTAATTGAGTCCTTACTAGTTATTAAATTAACATTGTGTGTGTGTATATTCCAAATATGTCCGGGTCAGGTCTACCTATATATTCCAAATATTTCCAGGTAAGGTCTACCTGGACCGGGAATCTACCCGAATGCTAATCGGGTCCAGGCTATTGGATCCAGACCCGACCTGCCGGGTCCAACACCTGGATTCATACTTGAACCTGGTTAGGGTGTAGCCACCGGGTCGATTGGTTGATCTGAACAAATAGCCAGTCCTAGCCAAGTCCACTTGGACAAGGCCTCGACCTTGTGGATAGATGAGTCGTACCAAGTATGTCGGTACAAGTCCTCTATGTAATACAAGGGACCTTATTTCATATCCCTCTTTCTCTCGCTCTCTGTAAAATGGGGGGCACCACCCCACTTTCATCTCTCTACTAGGCATGGTCTCTCTCTCTTACTCCCTCTACGCGGCTAACCAGGTACAATCTTTCTTTATCTCCCTCAAAACGGGGTGATTTCCGCTCCCTTTTTCATTCCTCTCTCTCCGTTGCTCCTTCTTTCTCCCTGTCCCTCTCTCCTTCCTTGTCTCTCTTTCTCTCTGTAAAAGGGGGCAGAAGTCGGCCCCCTTCGTCATCTCTCTCTATTAGGGGGAGAAGATATGTGGGAGTGATATGAGAGAGAGAGAGGGAGATAGAGAGAGAGAGATCTGTGTGAGAGAGATGATCTGTGAGATAGACTGAGAGATCTGTTTGAGTGGGAGGGATCTATGTGTGTGTGTGTGTGGAGAGAGAGAGAGAGAGAGAGAGAGAGAGAGAGTGAGGGAGATAGAGATCATAGAGAGAAATAGAAGAGAGATATCAGAGTGAGAGAGATCCGTGAAAGTGAGAGAAAGAGAGAGAGTGGGAGAGATGTGGCTAAAGCCCCCTCTCTCTGGGGCATGTCACCAGAGCCCCCCTCCCTCTCTGTTTTATTTTTAACTCTTTTACTTTTTTAAAAACAATCTTTGTAATGTTCATTACTCAGATGAGTCCACTTGTAACTCGGCTTGGTCCATGGCTGAGTCCTTGGCCCGAGCTCATTCCAAACACTGTTCTTGCTGGTCATAATTTGATCACTTCTTGTGCAACTTACAGTACATGCATCAAAGTAGGAATTGCTCCCAGTTTCATTATTTAAGCAGGGTACTTCATGACCTTGTGTGAAACTAACACAATTTTCTGAAACAGTATGGTAATGTAGTTGCTTGCCGTAGGGTTTTACTCGCTGCTTATGAGAATTTGGATTCAAGGGTTAATGGAGAAAATCGAAGGGATGGTTTATTAAGTTCAGTAGGGGTTTGGGTAAGGGATATTTCTGAACAAATTAAGGCACACATGTTTGAAGTCGATGCTTACTGTGTCGCAATTTTGCCTCTTAGAAAGAAGGGAGAGAAATCGACTTTTGTTATCTGTATCGGGACCTTCCTTGAGATTAGCTGATTGAACATTATGAACTGCTGAACCCTAATCAAAATGTGCTTATTAATCTTAATCTGGAAATAAGTGTGTAGCCTGATCTATTACGTATGAAGTAAAGAATGAACATCATGTTTAATATATTTAATCTAGCTACATCATCTAAATAATGTACTTGTATCTATTCTCAAATAAGAAAACCAATTTCATACCAAGTAATTGATGGCTATACATGTCATTTAACAATATTTGCAAACTGTGGCTATTGCTTATGCCTTTCCAGACTTCCATTTCACTAGTTGGCAAAGTCATGTTATTTTGTTCTAGTTGTCTTATGAAACCTCATTGCTAGGGTGCTTAACAGCAGCATGGCCCTCTGATTAGCCTTAATTACCTTTTCCCATTCTTTTTGTACATATTGATCTGAATGTGCTCTTTTTATACCTCGACCTATACATTTTCTCATCATTGAACAACAAATAGTGATACAGTGATATAAATAATTCTCAAATCGTATATATCCTTCTCAATCCCTTCCCTTACAATAAATTTTCTCACCAAACGCCTGGGCATGATAATTGCTAACCGAATGTGCTGAGTCTTCAATTGGAAGCATTGCTAGAATCCATGTTAGAGGGAGAAATTTTTTTATTGAATGCTTGTTCTTAATCACTGATGACTTGACACCTAGATGATGGCATGAGGCCATCGTCTTCGATAATGTTAGACGTTTGTCGTTTAATTTTGTGATTTAATAAAAGTATTCATTTCTCTGATGTTGTTTATTATTTGGCTCATAGTTGTTGCAAGGGGGGATGGGTTCGGGAGGGGGTTCGGTGCGAGGAACGCCGAACTGCCATAGGGTGTAAGTTCCCTAGGGTTAGGATCAACATCTGTACATTAAGGAGCTAGATCCTAGGATACCGGGGAGCGAGGTCCCATGGCACTGGGATCCGGGTTTTAACTTAGAGGGATCTAATCTCCATTATATGTTAAACAATATCAATTATTAGTATGTGATAAAACTAGGATGGAGCCGATGTGCTTGGTCCATTGTGTTACACCTTAGCATATCACCAATGCCATAGTACTCCAGTTACTGCAATAGGGCAATTTATTAAACCACAAATAGGCTTACTATAACGATGATGTGTTATGCACCACAATTTAACATATTATAAAGAAATAAATCCATAGTACCAAGGAGACAAGTAGTAGTTCAATTAACAGTACAGCTCCTCTCCTTAGAGGGATCCTACAAGCATGTAGACCGGGATCCCATTTTATAAGGAGCAAGATCCCTATTTCTCTAGACCCAAGCTGGTAAGGTCCCTAGGGTGGGCCCATGGCCTTTTCCCCAAGGTTTCAGATATCTCTCTCATGTATTTGTTGACATCTTCTAATGATTATTATATTTCTCATTTTATTTGTAGACTGATTTAGCGCATCAAGATCCATTCACAACTACCTTGAGGAACTTTGGAAGCAAGCAACCTGCAAAAGGTTCCGGTAAGCTCTTTTTGGTTCAATGTATTATTTTTAGACTTTTTTTAAAAAACATTTTTACAAGTCTTAAAAGGGTTTATATAGATGTTTACCTCTGAACCAGGGTTCAAAAACTCGCCGAGTCGAGCCGGACTCGCCCGGTTTGACTCGGGAATCGTCGGCTATCGAGCCGGTTCCACTAAAAAATCGAGAATCGCCTGTGTCCAGAGAGAACCGGGCGATTCTCTGCGATTCCCAACAGTGAATCGCAAGTCTCACCAAAATTTTTTGGGGTTACATGTGGCCGCACATGAGAGCAACACGTGGCACCTAAAATTCCTCCACATGTGGCAATTCACCTCACTCGTATGCCCCCCTCGCTTTTCTACACGCGCAGCTGATTGACAAGTACACAACACTTTATAGAGAACAAAGGGTCGCTCATCCTTCGATGTGGGATAATTCCCACAAAAGTTCATTCAAGCAAGATGATTGAATATGTATTATATTATAGAAGCTAATGAATCACATCAGGTGATGTGGTGGTGTTGGTAGACAACCTTGAATTTTCGGTTGGCGTCTTGAGTTCGAACCCCGCGCGCGTCGTCGTTTATAATACAACATTTTTTTAAGATAAAAATAAAAAATAGAAATAAAGATATAAAATGAAAAGCTTTTCAAGATAATGAATAAAAAGCTTGAAATAAAATAGAAAAAATAAAAAGCTTTTCTTGTTGTAAAAAAAGCTTAAAAAATAAAAAATAAAAAGCTTTTCAAGATAAAGATAAAAAATATAATACAACACTTTTTTATTTTTCTTGTTAAAAAAATACATGGTAGTATAAAAAGTATTTCTTGCAAAAAATAAAACAAAAGGCGTAAAAAAAAATTTTGA